GTTTTCCTTATCAGTTGGCAGTTTTAATAACATGTGCCTTTTAAGGTTGTTGGAAGATGGCACAAGTTATTTCATGGAGGAGACCCAGAGCGATACCTGACACTAGCAGAGTGCCCTGTGAATGGTAGCCAGTGTGATTGGTTTATTTCCTCATCTGTTAAATGGGTATATTAAGGCCTGCTTTCCCATTTTCTGTGGTTCTTATGAATATCAAATAAGATAATCAGTTATAGTGATCTGACAAAGGAGATTTCTTGTTTCTTTTTTAAAATATTTATTTTATTTATTTGAATACAGAGTTACAGAGAAGTAGAGACAGACAGAGAGAGAGAGATAGGTTTTTCCATCTGCTGGTTCACTCCCCAAATGGTTGCAATGGCTGGAACTGGGCCAATCCAAAGCCAGAAGCCAGGTCTCCCATGCGGGTGCAGGGGCCCAAGCACTTGGACAATCCTCCGCTGCTTTCCCAGGTGCATTTGCAGGGGGCTGGATTGAAAGTGGGGCAGCCAGGACTCAAACTGGCGCCCATATGGGATGCCGGTGCTGCAGGCTAGGGCATTAACCTGCAGTGCCACAGCGCTGGCCCCAAGGAGATTACTAATCATTATCAGGATGTGTTCAATCATCAGTTATTGAGGTAAAAACCACCTGTTAAGTGTTTGCCTTTCCCTTCAGTCCCTCTGTAGATACTAGTTTCCAGATTCATTATAGATTTCTTTGGTCTAGCAGGAAATCAGAATCTGTCTCTCTATCTGTCTAATCATGCTTGCTGTTTAAGTTAGGATTTTATTCGTGTTATTCGTTTTACAAGTGACAGAAACACAATTGGAAATTCTTTAAGGCAAAGTGCAGAATTTTGGCCTGCTTAATTTAAAAGTGTAGGAGGTACAGGCGTGGCTAGGATCCAGGAGCTGAAATGACATGGTCACAGTGTGTCAGCGCTGCTCTCCTCTGGGCCAAGGCCCTTTGGGCAGACTCTTCCTTTCTGATGGTGGTCAGCAACTCCAGAGGTTTTTTTTTTTTTTAATTTTTAAATTTAAATTCTTAATTAGTTTTTCAATATTCAGTATGATTTGTAGACACAGCATATTTCTTAAAGCTCAAGATAGGTTTCCTCACTGTTGGAAAAGGTCATTACAGTCTGTATACTTGCTATTCCCAGACTACTTCTCTGAGATGCATTCATGGTTGCATAGGTGAGTAGAAGTAACCCTGACTTTGTGGACGCATTGCTCATTAGTAGCTGGCCGTGTCTTACTAACCTTCGCTCCACAGCCTCAGACTCAAAACCTGGGATTGAAAAGCACCAGCTTAGGTCAGGGATGGACATTCATGTGCTTCTGCCTGATGGTCAATATTTAAACTATGAAAAGTCACCTGTCCCAGGCAAGATGATGTCATAGCCACTTAGTTACCGAGCAGGGCCGGCCCCTGTGGGCCATCAGAGCACTATGTAGTGTGTCATAGGACATCCCACCATGGAGCACATTTGTCAGCTAGCGTGTGGAGTGTCAGTCCTGTCACGTGTGCCATCAACATTGCACCTGCCCGTGTTGTGTTACTGAAAAGCACAGAGCAGAATGACAGCAATGCATGAGTTTCCTATTCTGGTAAACAGCTGACTTACTAGAATTAAAATAATGTCATCTTTCACTTGAGACAAAAACAAAGGTTTCCTTTCTAAAGACAGAACCTTTTTTAAAAGATTTATTTATTTATTTATTTATTTGAAAGTCAGAGTTACACAGAGAAGGAGAGGCAGAGAGAAAGAGAGAGAGGTCTTCCATCCACAGGTTCATTCCCCAATTGGCTGCAACAACCAGAGCTGTGCTGATTTGAAGCCAGGAGCCAGGAGCTTCTTCTGGGTGCAGGTGCCCAAGGACTTGGGCCATCTTCTACTGCTTTCCCAGGCCATAGCAGAGAGCTGGATCGGAAGTGGAGCAGCCAGGACTCCAACCGTTGCCCATATTGGGACGCCAGCACTACAGGCAGTGGCTTTACCCAATACGCCACAGCGCTGACCCCATGACAGAACTTCGTAAAGTAAGCAATAGGAGACCTCCTTTTCTTGGGCTTGAGTTGAAACTTGTCAAACTTTAGGTTTTTCTTTTGACATATATAATAAATGGTGCAAGGGGACATTTACTCTGTGATTTGATATGACCTTAAGACCAAAGAAGTCAGGGAACTATGGATTGCATTTCTTTTCTACTGATGCAAAGCTTGCTGAGGAGGGGAGATTTTTTTATGTCAGTTTCACAGGCTCTATAGGCAAATATGAAAAGTTGGTTTGAATGGAGTGAAATGAAAGATTAAATGGCTTTGCTGCTTATCATTATTCTCCATCATTTTAACATTTGTTAAATTTTTATTATTAGAGTGATTTATTTGCAGAAGACAACCTTCCGTTTGTCTCATTCAAATGTACTTTCCAATGTCTTTTGCAAATATTTTTGCTGACGACAAGCCATATTGTTCTCACGTATTCCTCAGCTTTGCCGGAAGAATGCAGCTATTTCCACTTGGGTGTTTTATCCATTTTAGTACAGTTAACTTAGCACAAACAATTTAGTTGTAGTTCGCGATTGCTACTTAAGGGAGAATGACCGTGATTTTCCAGGAGGGGAAGGGCATTGCCGTCGGCACTGAGAGTGCATAGCCGTGTGCCAAGCACATTACTGCTCCGGAGAGAGCGAGAGCTCCGTTAGCTGTCGCCGTAGGGTTTTCAGTTTGATTGTGTTCTGGAGCCATCACGCTGTGTGGGGCACGCACGCGGTCACCACTGAAGGGGTACGTGGGAGGAGTGGGTGATTTTTCCATGAGCAGGAGTCAGAGCGTGGGCTGCGCCGTGGCTTTGTCCTCCCTGGCTGAGCCTACAGTGCAGTTTGTGGCTCATGGGCAGCTGACTTGCAGTCTTGAGGAGAGAGAGCACAGCTTCTGTTATTGGAGTTCGCGGCTTCCCAGCACTGCAAGGATTCACTGACTCGGGTTCTTTAAGTAAGTGCTGTCTCCGTTATTCTCACAATTGTCCCCTTTTTCTTCATCAGATGGGTGTGCTGATAGAGTATATCCCATGGTACTCTGACAAGCTAAAAAAGATTGATTCTTTTATATGAAGTAGTCCCATGGTTTCATCCTTATTTTGAAGGACACAGTTAAGACAGCCAGAGGACATTAATAAATGAACTTACACTAGAAGTTGTATTTTTGCTGCTTAAGACCTTTCAGGTGTTTCCATTCATGAGTGCATCTTTGGGAACGTGTTTTGGCCCCCAGGACATATTCAGAGCTAGGCATTTACATGGAATAAATTGCTTTCACACAGGTATCAGGCAGGTAGGCCAGGTTTCCCAGCACTTGTCTCTGTTCTGATCAGTATATGTCCTAAGTAAGATCCGCTGGTCCTAGTGCCACTTGTGCCATTTATTTTCATTTTCCCTTGAAGCTGACATGTGAATTCAGAGCTAGAGTTTCAACGGAGACCTAGGTAGATCTGATTCAGTGATCTGGGTGTGCCCTGCACACACAGGAGGATGGACTGCTTTGTGTTTGGATCACAGAAGGTTGGGTGAGCTTCCATGCCTGCGTCTCAGTTCTCTATGGCCGTGAATGTTCCCCGGTTGTACTCTGGAGAGACAAGTGTCCTGCCTCTTAAATGAAACCACACAGTACGGCCGTTTCATTCACAGAACAGTCTTTCTAGAAGTACATTTAGGTTTAGCGTATTATTTTGATGTGTTTTGCAAGAAATATCCTACTACAAATTTAACCAAGTTCAAATCAGATTTCAGTTGCTAATAGAACATCTGTTATCAGCGTTGTGTCGTTCTCCTTTTATACAGTTAAGCTCTATTCCACACACAGACGTGGCATGACAACTAATTTGACCGTACTAACAAGAGTTTGGGTTTCAAACCAAGTAGTATAAATGTATAAATGGGCTTGACTAGATTGTGGTCATGCTGTCTATCTGAATAGAGGCTCAACTTCAAATGTTTAAAGTCTCCTTGTCTTCCTTTCATTGAATTTTTTTCCTGACAAACATTTAACTACCCATAAATATCAGTGTGTCTTGGGACAGTGAGGAGCAAGACAGGTGCAGTCCGTGCCCTGGAGAGAACTGCACTTGAGTGGGACAATGGCTGCTATAAAAATAGACAATCATACACATCATAAAACCCACAGAAATAATTGAATGATTAAATTTGTGGGAACTACCCCAGTTTGCATTAACAGCATCCCTGCCACCTGGAAAGAGAGCCATTGGTCACATCACCTGTGTTGATTTCTCGAGAAGACCTGATGGAGCCTCATTCATTCCAGGTGGGAGTTTGCCTGAGTCCATAGCCAGGGCTGTGTATGTGCTGCCGTTGGTCTGCAGTGTGTGGAGTGCTTCTGTAAGCAAGAGGAGAACAGCAGGACACAGAGACAGGGGAGACACTGGCACAGAGCCTGTACACGCACACGGTCATTTACCCGTCAGTCAATGCAGGAGACATGACGTCTAAAACAAGAAATAGCAGGAATGTGAAAGTAGAGGAGAAATGATGTACACTTTGCATGATCAGCCAGCAGTTCTTGGAGATGACTTTTTATCTGCTCTCTAAGGAATAAATTGGACTTTGGAAAGAGATGGAGGCGCCTCAGCACTTACAGCACAGAGATTTCAAATGGAAAACGCATCAGGATGGGATCAGGGACAGATTTCGCTCGACATCGCTGCAAATATTTCTGAACTGATCTTAGCCAACTTATGAATAAATGATTATTCCAATCTTGAGGGTTAAATATTTAAAAGTGAGCTCCCTCTTAGAGTTCATGTATAATACACGGCCGATTTTCAGGGCTGCAGACTTCCTCTCTTCATTTCCTTCTTTTTAATACATTATCATTTTTTTTCTCTCACTCTGTCCTTTGCCAGTTTCCTGCATGAAAATTATTTAAACGTTGCGCTCAAATCTTTTGAGGAAGACGAACGGGAAATTCAGGGATCTCGGCAGGAGGTGAAGCTAAAACGGCTTAAAATCATGCCAAGAAGGACGTGCGTGCCCGCGGGCCCGGTGACCCTGATCCTCCTCCTGTGCCGAATGATCTGCGCGCTGGAAGTGCCCCTCGATCGTAAGTGTTAACCCCTCAGAGCTGTTGGGCCCTGGAGTCCAAAGTCTCCCCTGTTGTGTGGATGCAGAAGGTGGCTGTGACACTGAAGAGCCCATCACAGTGAAATCAGCTTTGACCTTTAGCACCTGGTAATTGCCTTCAAAAGGACCAAGGCAGGGGCGGCTGTGAAGCAGTGAGCAGTGCAGAGCCCTGATCACTGTGGATAGGTGGCTCTAGGTAGAAGCATCTGCAAGAAGATGCTCCCAGTCACATTAGACTTGGCCATGCATCTCCTAGACTTCGCCTCTGCCCTCCTGTGCTGAGAATGCCCTGTGAAGACTGGGGGCCAGTCTCACTGCCAGCCCTACACCAAATACATTCCTCTTAGTTCAGACAAGGCACTTTTTGCTTTCTAATATTGAATCTTAAAAATGAGTCTAGAGCTAGGACAAGTGTCTTATCTGGAGCCTCACGAATAGTTGTCTTTGCTTGAAACGTGAGCAGGAGACGGTGCTGCAGATGTTCAGGATAAGTTAAGTAATCTGCAAAAACACTCAAGTAGGGCAAACAGCAGCTACTGCATCTGCCCATTCTTTTCCTAATAGTGAAATATCCCCTTTATCTTCTCTGGTCTGGGTGGCCTGTTTGTGAGAAGTAAAGATAATGTAAGTTTCAGCCACTCTCTGATCCTGCCATGCAAAGCAGAATTTCAGCTGTGGATAAATTACTGTACTTCAGAACTGATTCATTCTTTACCCCTAGTCTGTATGGACCTCTTTAAGCCCATTAGCTTCCTGAATAGAACATCTGTTTGGCGAGCTTTCCAAGGTGCCAGGGAGATGGCACTTCCCTGGGGCTGTTGAGTTGTTGGGATGTCATTTATTTTTTTGTCACAGAGATTGCATCTGCCAGTGCGAAGACATGAAGAAGAGATGTGGTCCCCCCCCCCCCCCCCGCCACTTCGTTGTGTTCCTTTGCTGTGTTTGTAGAGAATGAAGAAAATAACAGTACTTTCTTGTTTTTTACAATGCTCATCCAGTGGTGTTCAGGATTCCAGAAATGTCTGATTGCTTGAGCTCATTGAAGTAGGATTGTTTATGGAAGCGTTTTCCCTAGTAGATACACAGGAGAAAAATAAAAGCACTTGAGAGCAATGCCTTTGTTCTCTCTAGATAATCTCCGTCTTAATCCGACTGCTCAGTCTAACAAGCAGAGGCAAACAGTCACCTGTGGCTTATTCAGTCATCACTGCTAATGGGGATGAGGTGCAACCCTGATGAAAGTAAAGTCCCAGATAACCCAGGTGCTCCTTATTAACCTTTGCAAGTAGTAATCACAGGCGGCCCTGCAGAATGATTTCAATTGCATGCTCTTGTAATTCCTTCCCTGACCCTACTTCTTAAGATCCTTCCCCTGGTACATGAACAGCTCACTGGGCTAGCACCAGCAATCCCTGGGTGACTGAGGAATTCTGAAGCAGAGAGATGCCAAGAGCCTGAAAAGTTCAATTACTGGCTTGACTTGGAGATTAACCATGGATATATATATATAAAAATCTGAAATCATTGTTGGACTTGGCTTGGATGGAGCATTGTCATTATAGCAACGCCCTATTGTTAGATATGATTACCACATGCATTGTGATGTCTGGGGTAATGGGATCAGACACTACACAGTGTGTGACAACTCACATTAACTGTAAATTTCAGCTGTTTTTCAAATTGAACATAATTGCTTGTCCAGTGCAGCATGTATGGAACAGAGTCCAGCGTTCTTATTTCTGGAAGAGCCTTTTTTCTTTTCTTCTTCTTTTTTTTTCCCTACAGCATTGCTTTTGTTTTCCCTTAGGTTTAAAGGGGAATCTACTGCAGGAATCAGCTCAAGACCATTGATGCAAATTTCTTTCTCTTGCACCTTCCCAGCCTTGGTGTTCATTAGTTGGAGTTTTTTTAGGTCAAATTGAATAGACAAGATGCCCCTTTTATCCTCAGGCCTCTGACATTCTTATTACTAACATCTGATTTTCTTTAATCCTGTTTGCCCACTCACCTGCTGATATTGATGGGGAAAAAGCAAAACTTCTTGAAGACTGTAAGTGTCTTTCTATAAATTGCTGGGCAGTGTGAAAATTTGGCCATGTCTTTGTTTTTGGAATTAATACCATGAATTACATGCACAGTTTCATGTTTTGTGATGAGTGCCTTTTTAAGCCTGTGTGTTGACCGTAGTTCAATATTGCATTTAAGTACCAAGGAGCCAAATGCATTATATTCCCTGCATGAGTTCTGAAGACTCGGGGGTTGCAATTTCTTTTACCAATACGCTGCTTTACTAATTTCCAAGCTTTGTTCATATCTGATGTAACTCAATGAGAAAATTCACAAAATTCAGAGGCATGATCTGGTTCTAAATGCTACTGCATTCTTGCTGAAACGAAGGTACCTCTTCCGGTGATTTTTAGAAGATGGGTCCATGTGGCTATCTGAGTCAGTAGCTACATGCTCGCTCTCATCCTTCTTAGCCTTTGGGACTGTGTAGAGGTGTTTCTAGGAGCCACACAGCAAAGCAGAACACTGTGCAAGAGACAGGCAGCCCACGCTGACATGAGTCCCAGGAGCTTGCTCTAAGCAAAAACTTCTGGTGCGTCTGACAGCCGAGCAGTATCTGTCACCTAGCTAAAGTCAATTTTCAGGCTTTTTGAATGTTCCTTTGCTGATGGATCCATCAGGAGAATTATGTAAAATCACATTTTCCCTTTCTACAGCAAAGCAGTTGGTAACTGCCATGTAATCAGAGCACACGTTATTTTATGAATCCTGCCCGCAAACCTAGGGGGTAGATGCTACTTTTTGACCTCATTTGCCTCTCAGAGAACTGGGATTACAGACTTTAGGAAATTTGCTTGAGGTCTTACAGCTAGTAAGACACAAACTAGTTCTTTACTGCCAGACCAAACTGCTAACCAGCCCTGGAGCATGATGGGCTAGGAGAGCAAGTGTTCCCCAACTACGATTGGGGCTGAGAAGAGCAATTGGCTTAACTGAAAGTTGAGGGGAGTGAGATACTGCTAAAAGGAAGGGAAACTGATACCATCCCATATCCTGTAATAGGTACACAGTACTGTGACAGTAATGAAGTTATCTGTTGACCTATGTCCCAAGTGTTGCTTGGATATTTACTTAGAGATGTCTAGGGAATAACAGGCCAGACAAGAGAACATAACCATGTGTGCTGACTTCTGAGATTTTGAATGTGGGAGTGATAGGTTTAGTCATGGCAACAATTACCCAAGAGAGAAAAGATGCAAATTTATCTCATAACTTACATTTCATTGAAAGCCGTCATTTGAACCTATGGAATCAGAAGATTTCTCATTGTTGCATCAGAAAAGAAACTGTTAATATTAGGCTTGTGTTTGTACTTGTTTTCCCAAACTTTTAGTGTGGGAAAATGCACTTTGTGAATGGCTGTAAGGTTTCTGAAAAGTTATGCTTTGGCTTCGCAGTATTAGGAGACTTTTAGTTGAAAACCTACGGACGTATGTGCTACCACAATAGAACTTATGGAAAATATTGGTAGCATCTTAGTGTAAGGCAAGTGATTTTGTTATGGGGGAAAAAATGATTGCACTTATGTTATTAAGTGACTCATTGCTTTACCTTGTTCTTCTTTCTGCAATTAAGTGGTACAACCTCCAACCATCACTCAACAGTCTCCGAAAGATTTTATTATTGACCCTCGGGAGAATATTATAATCCAGTGTGAGGCCAAAGGCAAACCTCCTCCAAGGTGAGTGCTGCTTTCTGTGTGCTGTGGGGATCATGTGATCTCTCTGAATATAGGAACAAGTTGGGCAATGTCTGTAGAATAAGGTAGGCCAATAAGGTAACGCACCACTGCTTTTTCAGACTTACTAGGCTACCCTTTGATTCCTCTAACTAACCTCCTGGCCCTTTTCAGCCCTTCAAAGTTATTGAGGATAACTTCTTAGGATCTGCAGTGTCATATATGTAGGCTTACTTGTTTTGCCTCTCCACTTAATTAGAATGACTCCATTCTCAAAAAAAAAAAAAGATTACTGAATTTCTATACTGATGCCCTTCTTCTAAATGTCAGAAATGGTGGGGAGCAGTAGAAAAAGTCGTCTCATGCTGCTTCTGACACCAGTGGCCTCAATGACATGGACATGGGTGAATCCCTTTTCTCTGGCTTTAGGCTTCCTTATCTGTACATTAAGGAGGTGGGGTCTGATGACTCCCAAGATCCTTCCTACCTCTACAGCGGCCTATCACATAGTCCTACATGGTTTTTCCAAGCTTGGTAGGCATCAGTATTCATTTCTCCCTGGGGATCCTGGCATGACATTGCATAGCATCCTGGAGTTGGGAGAAACGTTGGTAATGCAGCCCACACATTTGCAGATGGAAACCAATACCCAGAGATGCTAGGTAACGTATCCAGCGTCCCACAGAGGATGATCCCTAACTTTTCCAGTGATATGTGGGAGTTTTGGAGAGATGTGTTACTATTAACTGTAATATGGACTTTTAAGTAATAAAGAAGGGAAAGTTTCTAGGTGTTGTGTTTCCAAGTATGTCTTCTACAGACCTCATTAAACTATCCCACCTGAAGAAAAAAATTTGTCCCAACATGTGAAAAAAGTTGACTTGTTCTAAGGCTCTCTGTGTGTCAAAACCTCCATCAAAGGTTTCCTTCAAAGCCATATATGTTCTACCAGACTCTTGGGAACTCTGTCACACAAGCCCTGATGTGGTGGCCTTGGATGGACTTCCTTCTGCTTCACACTGACTAAACACCACTTGTAAATCCGCAAAGTAGAATCTCTCCTCCTCAACATGATTGATATTTTGCAGTGGACAGTTCTTTGCTGTGGGGCTGGAAGCTGTGTTGTGCATTGTGGGATATTTAGCAGTGTCTCAGCCTGTACCCACTAGATGCCGGTAGCAGTCCGGAACTACCTGCCCTACTTGTGGCCGTCACCACACTGAAGACAAGGGCTGTATAGGAAGGGAAGTCCAAGTGGGTCCAGGAAACACTGAATTTAGAGGTTGATTCATTCCTTTATATGAAACTGGCTTCTGACTGGCGGTGGTGCGTTTAATTACACAAGCTCTGTGAATTTTTACTTAACACAAGCTTTCATGTAAATAAAACTGAGGGAGAGAAATCTCACATGACAGTTTGGCATCCCTCCTAAGGAGTTCACAAAATTGTATCTAGAACTTAAAATTTGGAAAATGCGCTTTATATAGAATTACCTCTTTTTAAATAATCAACATTTAAAATACCCCTAAGTTTGTATTTTTAAAAAAGTTTTATTTATTTCAAAGGCAAAGAGAGAGAGAGATCTTTCATCTGCTGGGTCATTCCCCAGATTCCTGCAACATCCAAGGCTGCACTAGGCTAAAGCCAGAAGCCAGGAACTCCATCCTTTCTCCTGTGAGGAGGGCAGAGAATTAAGTACTGGAACCAACACTTGCTGCCTCCTAGGCTGCACAGTAGCAGGAAACTGGATCCAAAGTGGTGCTGGAACTCAAAACCCAGGCGCTTTGATATGAGATACAGGTATCCCAAGCGACACCTTAACCCTGTTCTGAACATCGGCCCCAATAAAAATTATTTTAAGTCTAATAACAAGGCTCTAAGATAGTATGCTTGAGAAATTGACTTAGAAAAGTGACAAATATTTGTGTTAGATGTGGTATTATTCTAAGGAAGATACATACCTTAAAATGTACACATACCACTTTTTTATGTTAGTATTCAACAAAACATTTTAGGTATGGAGCCCGTATACTTTTTCAGTGCCTGTTGGGGCCGGCACTGTGGCATAGTGGGTAAATCTGCTGCTTGCAGTGCCGCATCCCATATGGGTGCCAGTTCAGGTTCCGGCTGCTCCACTTCTGGTCCAGCTCTCTGCTATGACTTGGGAAAGCAATAGAAGATGGCCCAGCTTGGGGCCTCTGCACCCATATGGGAAACCTAGGAGAAGCTCCTGGCTCCTGGCTTCAGATTGGCACAGCTCTGACTCTTGTGGCCATTTGGAGAGTGAACCAGCGGATGGAGGAACCTCTCTCTTTCTCTGCCTCTGCCTCTCTGTAACTCTGCCTTTCAAATAAATAAAACAAATCTTAAAAAAACTAATTATTATTTCCAGAAACCCATAAAACTTGTGGAAATTTGTTGAAGAATAATAATGTCATTTCTCTGGTTAATTAACAAACTTGACCCTTTCTGTGTGGGCAGCTTTTCCTGGACCCGTAATGGGACTCATTTTGACATAGATAAAGACCCTCTGGTCTCCATGAAGGCTGGCTCAGGAACACTCATAATCAACATCATGAGTGACGGGAAAGCAGAGAGCTACGAGGGCGTCTATCAGTGTACAGCCAGGAATGAACGCGGAGCTGCAGTTTCCAACAACATTGTCGTCCGCCCGTCCAGTAAGTGCCACTGTTGACAGACACAGCCCTTTGTAAAGTACACACCAGTGTTACATCATGCACATGCTGCCATAGAACTTCACGAAGTTGGTAGGGAAAATGGAGTTAGAAGATGTTTATATTGGTGCAAAACTTTTTAAATCCATGCATAGTTTTCTCTCTTTTTTTTTTAAACTTTATTTATTTGAAAGGATGAGTAGCGAGAGGGAGGGAGAAAAAGAGACCTTCCAGCCACTGGGTCACTCCTCCTGTGCCTGCAACAGCCAAGCCAGAGGCAGGCCAAAGCCAGGAGCCAGGAACTCCATCCACATCTCCCATGTCCATGGGCAGGGGCCCAAGCACTTGGACTATCATGCACTATTTTCCCCGGCTGCATTAGCAGGGAGCTGGATTGGAAGCAGAGAAGTTGGGACTTAAACTAGATATGGAATTCCAGTATCACAAGCAGCAGCTTCACCCACTGTGCCACAATGCCAGCCCCAGGTTTTTAAAATTTTTTAAGGTTTTTTATTTTACTTGAAAGTCACAGTTACACAGAAAGAGAAGGAGAGGCAGAGAGAGAGGTCTTCCATCTGCTGGTTCACTCCCCAATTGGCCACAATGGCTGGAGCTGCGCCGACTTAAAGCCAGGAGCCAGGAGCTTCTTCTGGGTCTCCCATGTGGGTGCAGGATCCCAAGGACTTGGGCCATCTTCTACTGCTTTCCCAGGCCACAGCAGAGAGCTAGATCGAAAGTGGAGCACCGAAACCGGTGCCCATATGGGATGCTGGCACTGCAGGTGGCAGCTTTACCCGCTACTCCACAGCGCTGGCCCCATAGGTTTTTCTTTTATTTTCTTTTTTTATAACCTTTTTTTTAAAGATTTATTTATTTATTTGAAAGTCAGAGTTACACACACACACACAACACAGAGAGAGAGAGAGAAAGAAAGAGAGAGAGAGAAAGAGAGAGAGAGAGAGAGAGAGAGGTCTTCCATCTGCTGGTTCACTCCTCAATTGGCTACAATGGCTGGAGCTGCACTGATCCAAAGCTAGGAACTAAGAGTTTCTTCTGGGTCTCTCACGTGAGGGGCCCAAGGACTTGGGCCATCTTCCACTGCTCTCCCAGGCCACAGAGAGCTGGATTGGAAGTGGAGCAGCCCCAGGACTCGAACCAGCGCCCACGTGGGATGCCAGCACTGCAGGTGGTGGCTTTACTTGCTACACCACAGTGCCGGCCCAGCCAGGTTTTTCATATATGCCTTTCTCGTGAACTTTTTGAGGACCTCTCATAGGCATAGATTTCAAGAATATTTTTGTGCCAAGATAAACATTTCTTTTACTTTCATTTCCACAAACTTCTTGAAGTTCTCTCATGTTACAGCTTCCAAAATTTGGACATTGCTTTGCATGAAAATCATTGCTCCTCTCCCTTTTCTCCTAATGAGCTCCTCGACCTAATGACTGCCCAATACGATTTATCTTTGATGTAAGTCCTAAATAAAATTCCTTCGTTAAAACAAGAGTATTTCATCCCCAAATTTAATCTTTTTTTAAAGATTTATTTATTTTTATTTGAAAGTTACACAGAGAGAGGAGAGGCAGAGAGAGAGAGAGAGAAAGAGAGAGGTCTTCCATCCGATGGTTCACTCCCCAGTTGGCTGCAACAGCCAGAGCTGTGCCAGTCTGAAACCAGGAGCCAGGAGCTTCTTCTGGGTCTCCCATGCAGATGCAGGGGCCCAAGGACTTGGGCCATCTTCTACTGCTTTCCCAGGCCATAGCAGAGAGCTGGATGGGAAGTGGAGCAGCCGGGTCTCAAACTGGCGCCCATAGGGGATCCTGGCCCTTCAGGCCAAGGCATTAACCGGCTGTACCACAGAGCCGGCTCCATCCCCGAATTTAATCTGAATATTTATTTTTCAAGTCTCTAAGCAAAACTCCTATGGCTGGATGGAAATACATTCAGTATGATATGGGTAACCAAAGTTTTAAGTGTCATTTCTTTAAATATTTGTTTCTAGTTTTTCTCCAGGAATAGAGGTCTCACTACCATGCTATCATGATGGCTCTTTCTGAGTGGTTACTACCCAAGTCTTCTTTTTATTTATTTATTTGAAAGGCAGAGTTACAGAGAAGCAGAGAGGCGGTAGGGGTGTGGGGAGGGGGGTCTTTTGTCCACTGGTTCACTCCCCAGCTGGCTGCAATAGCCGGAGCTGCACTGATCCGAAGCCAGGAGCCAGGAGCTTCTTCCAGGGTCTCCCACGCGGGTGTAGGGGCCCAAGCATTTGGGCCATCTTCCAATGCTTTCCCAGGCCATAGCAGAGAGCTGGATCAGAAGTGGAGCAGCCAGGACTTGAGGCAGCACCCATATGGGATCCCAGCACAGCAAGCGATGGCTTTACCCCACTGTGCCACAGTGCCAGTCCCTACCCAAGTCTTCTAACAACCTGAAAAGCTTGTTCTCAAAGAACACTGACCATGTATAGTACTGATCATTGTTTTTTAAAGATTTACTTATTTATTTGAAAGCCAGAGCTACAGAGAGACAGAGAAAGAGAGAGAGAGAGAGAGAGAGAGCTTCCATCCTCTGGTTCAGTGTCCAAATGGGTTGGGCCAGGCCAAAGCCAGGAGCCAAGATTCTACCCTACCCATGTGGGTGCAGTTGAGACATAAACCAGCACCTATATAGGGTGCTAGTGTTGTAAGCAGTGGCTTTACCTGCTATGTCACAGTGCCAGCCCCTTGTGTTTTTTTTTTTTTTTACTTTTAACACTGTATTTAGAACTTAGTTTCCCATGAATTCAGTGTACACAGATTCAGAATTATGATTTCCCCAGAAGTTTTGTTTGAATTTGTGCTGTTTTGATTTGTCAATGCAATTTAAAAGTTTTTTTTTATTTATTTAATAGGATCACCATTGTGGACTAAAGAAAAACTTGAGCCCATAACACTTCGAAATGGTCAATCTTTAGTACTTCCCTGCAGGCCCCCCGTTGGATTACCACCACCTATAATATTTTGGATGGATAATTGTAAGTTTTAGCAACAGAGACTCTTTCTTCAAGAGTCTTGTGATTGTTTACTGGCATAAAAAATTGCTATGTCATGTGACTCATAAAATGTTTACCAAATGCCGTGGACATGCTCAGGAAAATAGCCGCTGGTTGGAATAAATGCTGTGTCACTTCATTCATCCACTCGGTTTTACTGAGCACTTACTAAGCACCAGGCACTGCTCTAAATAAACCAAACGCTCTTCTTCTGAGTGAACTCACATTCTGTGGGGATGGGGAAGGAAGAAGACAATGAATGCATGAGAAAAATCTGTGTTACTTAGCAATAAGTGCTTTGGGGGAAAATGAAGCAGATTTTTGAGTAGAAAGCTAAAGGAATAGGAGAGCAAGCAAGACACTTAACTATCTGAGTGACAAGGGAATACTGGTATGAGACCCTAAGGTGGGGACATCCCTGGTGGGTGTTTAAAAAAAAAAAACCAAAGAGGCCCATGTGGTCAGAGTGGGGACCCCAAAGGGGAGGTAATGGACGAGGTCAGAGAGGTCATGAGAACATCCTGGAAAAGGCTTTGGCTTTTGCTGTGAATGAAGGAGGGAATTTACCTGAAATAAAATAGACAGTACTCTTCCCTGGGTTCACGTGAGAGAGTATAGAGGACATGAGAGGTGGGGAGACCCCTGAGGGCCGCTGTAATCCAGGCGGGTGTTGGTAGAGACTGGGACTTGGCCGGTTGCAGCAGAGTGGGTAAGAAATGGGTGGATTCTGGGGATGTTTTCAAGGTGGAGCCTCCAGGGTTTATTGGGGTCAGAGTGAAAGCATGAAAGAAAGGAATCACAGGGAATTACAAAGTTTGAAGAATAAATAAGTAATAAGATGTAATTTCCATTCCTGCAACAGCAGAAGCCCACAGCAAGAGGGAATCAAGATGTTTTGAATGTCTTATGTTTTTGATTTTTTTTATCTCCAATAATCCCTAGTATTTATTGAGCCTCCACTAAGTGCCAGTGCCTTTACTAAGAATTTCACATTATTTTTTATGTCATACCTTTATCAGGTATATCCAGTTATTCTGCCCATTTTCCAGATGAGAAAAGTGAGGCAGAGAGAAATGAAGTCACCCACTAGGCAGTTTCAAGTTTGTCCACCTCTGTTCCTATCCTTGAGGGAATTGTTGCTGTGCATCTCCCACCTCCAAAATGTCCTGTGCTGATGGGTTAGCTTCTTACCCTAGAGAGAGCTAGCTCATGGCTCTGCTTGGGGACCGAGAACAGGAGTTTGAGGTGTGAGAGGCCTGCAAGATGTTCATGCGAAAATGCCCAGCAGGTGTCAGAATCGTGAGTGAGAAGAAACATCTGGGGCTGAGATCAGCAGTGTATGAGTCATTATGGCCTCAGTGCTGCTTGAGTCATTGGGCCAACAGATGGTGGAGAACAGAACCCGGGACGCTGAGGTGAGGGACTCTGCAGCCTCTGAGAGCTCAGGGAGAAACCAGCGGGGCAGATGAGCAGGTGCAGCCGAGAGGACAGAAGGGAACCCAGAGAGAACGATGTGTCGGGGAGCAGGTGACCGGAGGGTGTCAGGAAGACAGAGTGAGCCACTGTTCCAAGTGCTGCTACAGATCAGTAACATGAGGTCCGAGAAATGTCTAGCAGGTTTGGCAGCACGGAGGGCTTGGTGAGACAAGAGGAGTTCAGGCGAGAGAGCGTTAAATGTATTTGTAGGGAATGTATTCTGAGTGGCTCAGTTTGCTCCAAAATCGCAGGCTGTATACATACAATAGAGAACTTGGCTAGAGTATTTGATTTTCATTTTTGACTCATGAAATCATGTGGTGAGAAGATAACAAAGAAATGAAAAACAGTTACACAAATAAATAAATATTTTTCCTGTTATCACGCAACAGCCTTTACGGGTTTGGAAAGTAGCAAACCAAATGTCTGCGGTGATTTATAGCTTTGAGAATAACGCTCTCGAAAGGTCACTGCCAACATGAAGCTAAGTTTTTGGTTCGTGGTTCTTATTCAGAAACCATGACCTTTCTGATCAATAAAGAGACATACCACTTGGAAAGTCTCAGAATCATCTGAATATGTAACTAATTTTTCCCCACACTGCACAGCTGACTATGTCATTTGCATACATCTTAAGCTGTTGGCAAAGCTTCTGACCTTTTAAAGGGATTTGCATCCGGAATATGAGAAAAAAATTTAATTCTATGTAGCATTCTTTCTGCAAGATGGCATTAGAAAATTACTCGGATGTGTCCGGATGTAATGCAAAGGGTGTGAAAGGACAAATTGTCACCACCTGAGCATCCCATTGCCTTACACTTGATCTACCCACACCCATCAATAATAAAATACAGCAGCAGAAACAGAAACTCTTTGCATTCATTAAATAAACACCTATTATTTTTCTGAGTTATTTTTTAAAAACTGCCCTTTCCCTGGGAAGTAATGGCTTAAAACCAGGAATTTGCAAAACCCGCCGTACCCCCCATCTTGACCAGAAATTTGGTTAAAACAGTGAGCCCGTGCTGTTCCTTCAAGCCCTGGCTCCACGTTCCCCTGTCTTTGCCAGCCCGTGGGGGGCGGACTCCAGGCTCTTAACCATGGTTTTGCATTTTCTGAAATGTTAGACCAGGCACCTGCCACAGGAGGAACCCACCCTGTTGAGTCAAACCGGCCAAATCCTATCCGGAGACATAACACCTTTAGCTGGACCTGAGCAGAAGCACATGGTTGTTCTAGAAACTGCCAAGTCAGAGTGCTAATGGTTATTCCTTTACTCCCCCAATGAGTGTTGAAAGCCCCTGTGAAGGGCCAGGCACTGGTCCAGCGTGGCAACAGGGGACAAAGCAGATGCATGTGTCTGCTCCCCAGAGTTTGAATTCTAGGGCAGAGAGACAGCCAGTGTGTCAGTGCGTATGACAGGTAGAATGCAAACATGTGACATGTCAGAAGGTGGTGGAGGAATTCAGAACAGAAAGAGTAAAGGAGGTGAGTGAGACTGGGCATCAGGGAGATGGGGGTTGGGACGTAGCAAAACCATCTGACCTCACCTCTGCCTCCACCCTAGAGGAACTAGGGCCAGGCAAGTACAGAGGAATTTTCCTGTGCTGTGCTACTGCTACTCAAAGGGCTTTATAGAGAAAACCTATGTCAAGTTCACAGACATGTTACTAGGCGTGTTTCTCTGGCTAATCTGGAGAGCGGGCACACCATGCTGGAACGATCTGGATCATCTCTCTGCCTTTCTGCAGCTTTTCAAAGACTCCCACAGAGCGAGAGGGTTTCCCAAGGTCTGAACGGGGACCTTTACTTCTCTAACGTCCTGCCGGAGGACAGCCGCGAAGACTACATCTGCTACGCCAGGTTTAATCACACGCAGACCATCCAGCAGAAGCAGCCCATCTCCGTGAGGGTGATTTCAGGTGAGGGCGCAGCTTCCCGGATCTCTCTTTCAAGGGTGTTTACAAATCCATGCAAAATAGGTTACGTCTTCTCTACTGCTGCCCTGGAAGGCAAGAGGGTCCCTGGCCAGGAAACTACCTGGGAATGACCCACTGAAGTGCTGGCCTATGTGTTAGAATGTGCGCACAGACCCGAAATACTCGATTTTACCTTTCGTAAAAGTGTTACTATGATTACTGCTTCTATGATGACCTTGGTTGTCTTTCACCTGATACTGGTTGGGGTTGGCTGAGCAAATGACGCATGCAGTGGGCAGCACTAGTGTTGTTTGCAAGAGGATAGCCTTGCTCAGCAGAGCTGTATGTGTTTACTTTTGTTGCCCCATGCTTTTTGACCCTTCTCCCCTACTTTTGTGCCCTCTTCATAATATTCTGTTTATTTCAGTGGATGAATTGAATGACACTATAGCTGCTAATTTGAGTGACACTGAGTTTTATGGTGGTGAGTTTTGGTGATTGTAACTGCTGTTTCTCCTTCATTGTAGAATGTAGTTCACTAACTTCACGTCCATGGCTATTTTAACCTTATTTCTTTATGAACTTTCTAGTTATGTGTTTAATACCTAGTTTTAATGTATTTTTGTATGAAATTTCGCTGTACTTTCAAGCATGTCACTAAAACATTTTCATGATGTATGTATAACAATGAAACTTGTTGTAACTGTTTTTCACATAGAATCATTTCATGTGATTTGGGGGAAAAATCCTTCATGAATGTTTAGCATTAAATTTTCCATTTTTTTGTCCGATTCATAAATTTTGCTCGTGAATGAAATAATTAACAAAGTACTTTAACTTCCTTGGCTACTGACTCACCAAAACTCTTATTTTACAACTAACTTTAAGTGGATTTCATACTAGAGGATCATTTCCTACCCATTTTCAAAAGCCATTGTCAATATACTTAGCAATAATATTTCTCTTAGTTTTACTTAAAAGCAAGTCACTGTCTTCGGTGGAAATATTCTGCCATAAAAATAGAGCGTAATATTTCTTTTAAACAACAAATAATTTAATTACCCCTAAGAGAAATGTAGCTCTCAGTTACAGAATCTAACAGTGAAAACAATGGGATCTGGATATGGAGTCCTCTTAATGAGCTGTAGTCAGGATCTCTGCTGTGTTCGCTTGCCACCCTCGAGTTAGGAAGTAAAAAGCATTAAGGTATCATTAGTGACCAAGGTAGACATGCAACAACTCCTGCCTTTATTTTATGTTAAGATTTATATACTCATCGAAAATAATGGGCTTCAAAGCAGTTCCCATCATGAATTCAAAAGCGTTTTCCCCCACAATCTTCCAAGTTCTTAAAAAAATTTTTTTTTTTCTCAAGCAATGCCTTTTCTGGTATTCAGTTTGTTTCCTCTGAGAAGTGGACATAGTTGACGTATGACCTTTCCACTCAGTGTGTGTGAGCATCAAACAGACCATGCAGTAAAATGCAGACGATTGTCAAAAGCTTACAGAAACTGAAGTGGTAACAGTCCCTACCTTCGGTGTTTCCGAGAGGCCTTGGAAAGTCAAGGGCGCATTTCGGAAACGCCTTCTCAAATAAGAGGGTGGTTGCATCCTGAGATCCCTGAGGTCTCTGACTTGGGCTTTGCCTTTCCCACGAGGAAACCAATTTCAATGAACTCCACCAGTATTCTGCAGTTACAGCATACAGTTTGCCAGACCTCTGTCAGTAGCTCTCACTGTTGCATTTTCCATAAACTCTGTAGTTTGGGGATCTTGATCTGCTTCATCCATAGAACTGGCTAGAATATCTTCCTCAATGTAAACCAAAATACCTCTTCCATAAGACTACCTTGCTGAAAAACCCAACATTTTCCAGAAGATAGACAGTTAATTTTGACTTTGACCTGAGCACTGATCTTAAGGGAAGTGTGCTTTGATAACACGATTTTTCTCTATATCGTGACATTTTGAAAATGCTTGAACCCATAGAAAATTCATAAAAACCCAACTTAAAGAAATACACAAAGGGAAACAGCCCTCACTATTAATGCCCATGCAACCAACATTGTTTGTATTCCTGGTTAACTGAGTGAGGGTTAGCTTTCTGCAAGACAGCATGTGTGTGTGTGTGTGTGTGTAGCCTAGCAAACTTAACCATCAATGTTAAATGGTTTTGAAAATGGATTAGAATTTTAGACAGCTCTTTTTTGATAGCGAGCTGTTTCTAGAAATACATATTCACAATGTTTAATGCATGTTGATTTTCTTGTTTGCAGCTAAATCAAGTAGAGAGAGGCCACCAACATTTTTAACTCCAGAAGGCAATGCAAGTAACAAAGAAGAATTAAGAGGAAATGTGCTGTCACTGGAGTGCATTGCAGAAGGCCTGTGAGTTAACACTTATTGTCCTTACATACATTTCTTTTTCTTCTCTTTCATTTTTCTTTTTTTCATGTACTTATTTATTTGAGAGGCTGAGAGATAGAGACAAATAGACAGAGTTCCTATTGGCTGGTTCACTTCCCAAATTCCTGCGACAGTCAGGGCTGGAGCAGGCTGAAGCCAGGAGCCAGGAACCCTATCTGGATCTCCCATATGAGTGGAAGGGACCTAATCACTTGAGCCATCACCTGTGGTCTCCCCAGGTGCACGTTAGCAGGAAGCTGGAATCAGGAGTGGGTCATCTCTCAAACCCGGGTGCTTTGATGTGAGATACTCATGTCTTAACCACTAGGCCAAATGCCTATCCTCTGATGCACATTTCTTATTTTAAAAAAATTAGTGGATCGGTAGAGAAATGTTAATACCATAGCAAAAGTCATCATTTTGTGCTAATTCCATCAAGCATCAAGAACACATTGGTGATTCTTTCCAAAGTATATTCTAGGAATATCCTATTACTGTTCAAATATTTCGACATTGTAATAGAGTTCATGTGAAATAGACTCAGTAATCAGATGATGGTGATTTTTAAAATTTGATTGTATTATTTGGCTGTTGTGTAACAACTCAGCTTGAAACTTGGTGGTTAGCTGCTTATTACTGGCTGTTTTTCTGGAGGTTCAGGGGGCTGCTGTGCTGTACCTGCCCCAGGTTGAACGGGCGCGAGGATCTGCCCAGTGGCTCAGCTGTAGGTTCAGGACTCCCAGGGTTAGCTGGCTGCGGCAGCTGAGCTGTTGGCCATGAGTTCCTCACATCGCTCTAACACCTTCACCCCGGGCCTTTCTACAAACAGCACAAGTACACAGGGCCTTGCCTCAGAACTGGCACTGTCCTTTCCGCTGCTTCCTTTTGGCAGATCGCAAAACCAAGCCCATTGTCAGGACACACCTCAACCTTGAAGCCACTGAGAACTGAGGCACCCTTGACAGGCATTGCAGGGAGGCCTCTATCAGGTGGAAGGGCAAGGGTTGCTTAGGTCCATGTTACAGGTGAGTTTCTAGATGATCCCTAGCTTATGTCTGGAGCAAGTACGTGGGTGTAGGCACATCTGCTAACAACTTTGCATGCACCCTCTGGCACATGCTGCCCTCCTATTTTGTGACCCCTGCTGTCTCTGGACTGGTCACTCCTTGGTCTCAGTCTTCCTAGAATCCGGGAATCACTTTACTTCAGGAAGCATGTGGAGGCCTCTGCTGGTCAAGTCAGGAAATCACACTGTACATTATTGCTCAACTCCTCATACTGAAAACCAGCAAAACTCCTTTTAAAAATATGTCAGAAAGCCATCCTTCTCACCAGACGTGGTGTGAAAAAATTTTTATTTGGGAGGCAGAGAGACAGACAAAGCTGCCATCTGCTGGTTTATCCTCAAATGCCCACAATGGTTAAGGTTGGCCCAGGGCCACAGTCAGAGACAGGAGCTGGGGACTCAATCCAGGTCTCCCATGTGGATGGCAGGAACCCAATTACTTGAGCCATCACCACTGCCTTCCAGGGTCTACATTGGTGGGAATCTGGAATCGGAGCCAGAAGCAGGAACTGAACCCTGGCCCTCCTATGTGGGACATGGGTGGATCTTAGTCACTAGGCCAAAAGCCTGGCCCCAGAATTAAAAATGAAACTTCCAAGTTTTGTCATATTAGAAAAGAGTTTCATCTTCAACCATCAACCTTTTGGGAGCAGGAGTTCCCATTCTTAAAGTTGGTGACTCCTCTCGCTGCAAATGGTATACACGTTGGGTATTCTTTTTTTTATTTTTTTTAAGATTTATTTTATTTATTTGAAAGACAGAGTTACAAAGAGAGGTAGAGAGAGAGAGAGGTCTTCCATCTGCTAGTTCACTCCCCAAATGGCCGCAATGGCCGGAGCTGTGCTGACCTGAAGCCAGGAGCTTCTTCCAGGTCCCCCATGCGGGTGCAGGGGACCAAGCACTTGGGCCATCTTCCACTGCTTTCCCAGGCCATAGCAGAGAGCTGGATGGGAAGAGGAGCAGCCGGGACTAGAACTGGTGCCCATATGGGATGGTGGCGCTTCAGGCCAGAGCTTTAACCCACTGCATCAGAGTGCCAACCCCCTTCTTTTCTTTTTAAGATTTATTTATTTATTTGAAAGGCAGAGTGACAGAGAGAGAGGGACGGAGAGACGGAGAGACGGGGAGATCTTCCATCCATTGATTCATTCCCCAAATAACCAAAACCACTGGGTCTGGGCCAGGCCATTAGCCAGGAGCCAGGAACTCCATCTGGGTTTCCCCCTTGGGTGGCAGGAACTCAAGTAATTGGACATCATCTGCTGCCTTTGCAAGTGCATTAGCAGGAAGCTGGATCAGAAGCGGAGTTGCCAGAACTTGAACCAGCTGAGCCACAATGTCTCCTCACCATTTGCATTTCTAAATAGCAAACATTGTGATTTTTCTGAATGCCTGAACCACACTTCTTTCATCATGATCTTCCCAGCATGCAGCTTAGTGCTTGGTATATAGTTCAGTACATAGGAAATGTTTGTACTCAGTGGGTTTTCATTTTGCCCTCAAAATCTCCTAAAGTCAGTAGATCAAGTCAAGCGTGCATATCCCCATTACTAATGGCAGCCAATTGTCGCTCCCCCTCTTCGTGGAGGAACGACACAGGACCCTGCACTGTTCTTTTGTCTGCTCGGCCCTCCCCGGGTTTGCTGCTGGTTCTTCCCGGGTTGGCTACTGACCCTTCCACCTCCGTGGAAGGGCGGTTCCCCCTAGCCACTTTCCCCACTTCCGCAGGGGAGCGGCACACCGCCGGCCGGCTCTCTCGGGGGCTGCTCAGATGTTCCTCAGGTGTTCCTTCAGATGTTCCTGGTGCATGTTGTCTCTCTCCTCCTTTATGGTCCTCTTCCACCAATCCCAACTCTGCTACCCACACGCCGAGTACGCTGCTCTCCTCCAATCAGGAGCAGGTCCTGCTGCTTATTGGTTGAACTGGAGGCAGCTGTGTAGAAGCTGTTTCCTCCTCTCCCAGCGCCATATTGTGGGAGAGCAGATGCATAGAATAAGTCTTAATTCCAGTAACTTAGTCTAGTCCGAGTTGCTCCCAGTTGCTCCCCACACGAATAAAATTAAGGCCCAAAGAAGTCAGAGATCCAAAATCAGAGGAAAGAAAAAAGTAGGTGGCAAAGGAACAGGGCTGGGAAAGTGAGAACGACCGTCCAGCTCCATGCCTGTTTGGTGGCTCTTCATCTGCCTCCGTATCTCATGATTTCATCGCAACCTGTTGGGTGGGGGGAAGAATGGTGTAATATGTGAGTTCAGTCTTTCTTATCTATTGGTGTAAACATTTTTTAAGTATCACTAATAATGAAGTGAAGGACAAAATGCTATACTCTGATCCCCTTCACATCACGAGATGGCTTGTTATAGAACAAAAAAGTCCTTCCATCCGCTATAGACTTAGGTGTAAATGTTTGCAGGCACAGAAATGTGTATGAGCTCTTTCTCTACAAATTTTACACTCCAGCTGAGGGACAGTTATAATTCAGAATCAGTGAGTTAATGGTAATTCCTGAGATTGACAGTACCTTCCAGGAAAATTTTCCAAGAGTCCCTCATGGATCAGAGCGTTGAAGGAAATAGGTCCCCTCAGTAAAGCAGCTTATGCTAGCATCCACACTGCATTGTTGAAGTGGAAGTTGATGGTGTGCTATAAATTACTGTAGTTCTGATTATGTGAAAGCGGTAACATATGGACCCAAATGTAAGATTTGGAACATTGTTTATAAAAATCTGTTGCTAATTAAAATACCTGTATGTTTCTCGTGATCTTTATATAAAGAATTTGTTAGGAACTTGCATGGAAATAAACCCTCAAGAGCATGAACTACTTTTTTGGTAACATTCCTATTTATTTATTCTACCAGGCCTACCCCAATTATTTACTGGATAAAGGAGGACGGAACACTACCCGCCAACCGGACATTTTATAGAAACTTTAAGAAAACCTTGCAGATCACTCATGTTTCAGAAGCAGACTCTGGAAGTTACCAGTGTATAGCAAAAAATACACTTGGAGCCATCCATCACACCATTGCTGTGACAGTTAGAGGTACGTCATGGTTAAAATGCATTTCTCTTGCCTTCAAGGCAGGCCTTGAAGGGTCAATTAAGTATGCCTTTGATTATGCCCTTCAGTGAAGGTAAATGTAAGTTTAGATCACATTCATGATACCTTTGAAACTCTTCTCAGTGCTCTTTATAGTGTATCTAAAAACCAGGTTAAAAAGCCCCTTCTTCACATCTTCCTCACAGAAGAATTCCAGTTAATAGATGTGGAAGGAATAGCAGAAATAGAAAATCAGTGTTCAAATCCCACAGTGATAACTGCTGTGGGAAGATCCACCAGTGAGTGCTGAAATCAGCAGATGGAAATCCAAGGAGAAACAGGATATCTGCACAGCTTCAAAGTGTTCCTCTCCCCCCAAAAATTAGTTGCTGGGACAGTTTTAATCTGTGTCCACTGATTCTCCAGGACTCCTTCCATCCACAGGAAGGAGTTGACCTCCCTGCCCCATGAGTGTGGCTGGACTCGGAGACTCACTGCTGTTAGAATTGGGAACAGTCATCTTGCCATGGAGAAGCCTGGTGGATGCCACCTTTGCCAGGTGGTACAGGTTAACATCACCAGTAGCAAGTCAGGACCTCAGGAACTCCCCAGGGTGGTGCACTCAGAGGGTCCATCACCCCTGTAGTGTTATTCTCCAAAGAACAAAACCTCAGTCTAATCTAAGACATACCTGCCCAGTGCTCTTTTGAAGGGTCAAGTCATGGATGACGAAGAGAGACCAAGGAACTCTCAGATAAGAGGAGATTGAGGAAATGTGACAGGTAAAGGCAGTGCAGCATCCTGGGATGGGATCCTGGGCAGAAATAGTATCTTAGTGGAAAAAGCTGAGGATATCCTGATGCTGCGTACAGTTTAGTTAATAGTACTGTACCGATGTTAATCTCTTATTCTGATAGCTGTACTGTGCTCACGTAAGTTGTTAACATTAGAGGAAGCCGAGGGACAGATATGTGTGAGTGTTTCATACAATCTTTGCAACCTTTCAAAAGGAAAAGTTTTATTAATTGTTTCCTGATGTTAAGATTATATGTAGCATACAGGGCTCCAAATTTAAAATCATAATTTCTGGCCCTACCTGTACTTGTTAGTTGTTGTAAACCTTAGAAAAATCTATCAAAAATCTACAATTCTTTTTTTTTTAAAAATCTATTTATTTGAAAATCAAAAAGAGAGAGAACTTCCATCCACTGGTTCACTCCCCAAATGTCCACAAGAGTCAGTGCCAGGCCTGTCTGAAGCCATGAGTTGAGAACTCAGTCCAGGTGTCCCCAAGTGGGTAGCAGGAACCCAAGTACATGGGCCATCATCTGTTTTCTCCCAGGGTGTGCATTAGCTGGAAGCAGAGCCAGGACTTGAACCCAGGCATGCTGATTTAGGATGCAGGTGTCAAAGCAGCATCCTAACCATTGTGCCAGATGCCCACGCCTCAGTCACCTCTTTGATGTCTGATTACTTCTCATGGAAAATCAGACAGCAATACTCATATCAAACAGGTCTAGAAATAATACATTTGAATCTCTTGAAACATTATTTGGAAAATCTAAAGTGTTCTTCAAAGCACTGCTTATAAATCTACTCCTCTTTTGGGAAAAAAAAAGATTAGAAGTGTGTTGCAAAATAAAGATTCTTATTATAAAATAGTTCAATATGTTAATTTGCTAAAATATTTCAGTTGATTCAGATTTTTGGTGTTTTTCTTTTTTCTTCCTTCCGTAAAGCGGCCCCCTACTGGATCATGGCCCCTCAAAATCTCGTGCTGTCCCCAGGAGAGGATGGGACCCTGATCTGCAGAGCCAATGGTGACCCCAAGCCCAGGATTAGCTGGCTAACAAATGGCGTCCCAATAGAAAGTAAGTTTCCTTGACTGACTCTAATTGCTTTATGTCTTCAGAGTGTGTCTGCGTCTCAACAGTGGATGAATGGTGATGAAAAATAGTGATAATCATTTAGGTTAAGGAATACGGCCATTTATAAGTTACACAGAGATACCAAAATATCTTTCGAGTTCTATCTTATTACCTCTAGACATTTATAACTTTGTGTCATTTATGCTATTAATGTAATGGTGCATGTTGACTGAGATGTGGAAACAAGTACTCTCTGTTAGCTGGGTCCTAGGAATAAAAGATGAGGTGAGAAATAGATACCATGGAAGTATCCCCATGATCTTCTTTTGTTCAAAACATCCAGTGGTTTGTGGATCCAGAGGCAGACCGATGGGTAGGAGACCACGCAGAGGGCAGGTGGATTGAACAAGAGAAAGGAACTCTATCCAGTTTTCAATCCCATGTAGAACCCAGATGTCCCCAAATTCTCCAGGCTCTAGGAGTCACCAGAACACATCCTCTGATCCCAGTCTATACAGAACGCCTGGTCGGTTACCCAGTGTTCCCTCCCTGAGTGTCACTGAGGTCAGACTTCAGCACTGCTTATGCAGCCTGGCTGTCTGTCACCCTCCACAGCCACCACCCCTGTTCCACAGCTTCACTCCCAGAGCATTCTCATTAGCCATTTTCTCCAAGCTGCCATTGTGCTGCCCATAGCAGCCCCCCAAAGGGGCTCTCCCATCAGCCTTTAGAGTCACAGCAAGGCTTGGTTCTACAAAACTTGGTTGGAGACTTGTCAGAAAGTGGGTCTTGCACTTGACTGCTTCTGACTGCTCAGCCACAACGTGAACAAGGAACCTACCAGCTGTCTCCTTTGACCCCATGGACCTCCAGCTGCTGCCACGGGACAATCAGGGAACCTTGTTCTCCTTTTTGGAGGTCAGCTCTCCTCTGTAGATCCAGAAAAACATAAAAGTTTCTGCTTGCACCCCAGCCTCAGTATTGGGATCATCTGCCAAGATGTTCTTGATCTTCAGGCTTAGGAGGTAGAGCAGCTCGGCTCTGCATGGCCTCCAAGTCACAATCAAATACCAGTTTTCCTTCCACTTAACCCAGAGGCCCATGCAACTGACTCTCCCGAAGTAAAGTGCCCTCTTCCCCCTGATGGATCCGGAAATGACTGTGATAGATTTAAAACATGACCATTGGCAGACGTAGACTGAGTCATCACGGCCTGGTCCATACCTGTTGATTGGGCAATTGCTTGTATCACACAGCACAGTAGTTATCAGAAACTTGGAAACAGCCAGCCTGTGTTTACAGTGAGAGGAATACGCTCCTAGGAGAAAGCATCCTGCAGAAGCCAGCTAATGGGGTTCAGGTATTTCTTGTCCCAGTTTTGACCATGATCAGACTCAGGGAAACCTGAAGGGAGTACTCTATATATCAGGAAGCTGCTGCCACCCTCAAGGGATGATGAATGAAAATGGACAGGGAAGGTGGACGCAAGCCCAGAAATGCAAGAGAAGTGTTAAGGCTCAATATGTGGCTTTCTTAGGAATGCATGCAACGTGGCGATGAATGACAGAGGAGGCTCGGCACCATCGCACCCTGTTGTGCAGCTCAGAGGTTCTGGGTTGACCTAAGAGAGGTTAAATGGACTCTTGGAAGTGAGACAGAGCTCACCAGACCGCTGGGGAGGAATGCAATCCAGAGGAGGGACAATAGAGACCCAGGGCAAGGGTACATAATAGACCTGCTTCTGCCTCCTGCATGCCTCAGCTAGCCTTCCCTCCAAACCAGCTGCCCCAGTGGCTTCCTGGACACCTGAGACTGGGCACTGTATAAACAGCCCCACAGTTCTGGAGGGCGGGCACTCCAAGGCCCAGGTGCCAGCAGATGGGGTGTGTGATGAGGCTGCACTGTCTTTGTCCACACGTGATGAGAAGGGGAAGGAGGCTTCCTCCAGCCTGTTCGTCCTAAGGGCACTGATCCTGTTCCTGAGGATGGAGTTACCTGCGAAGGCCTCACCTGTTAGTACTGCTCCCAAGGCAGGGTTAGGTCTCCCCACAGAACCTAGGAGAGCCACAGATACCCAGGCCGTGACACCCACACTGGCAGCAGTGCCTCTGAGGAAGCCTTGTGGCGCCAGCAATAGGAAGAGCTTTGGGATGATGCTCGTAGACACTCACTTCCCAGCGTACGTTTTGGAGGGAGGATCGACTGCTGAAGGCCTGGATTAGGGGGCAGGGGGTTGTGGCCCCGCGGAGACCAGTCTGACCCTTCCACAGCCACCCTAAGTTGTCTGAGTAGGTCCAGAATGGAAAACGCTAGAACAAAATCTCTTAAATCAGAGTCCCGTTCAGTTTCTCTCTTCCATCCCAGAAGTGTTCTTTGAGACCTCACAGGGTGGAAAGAAGGAGGCTGAGCAGAAGTGATTGGAGTTCTGCAGCTCCCACGCAGCCAGGGTCTTTCAGCCTCAGAACAGCCACCCTGGCGGACACGCAGGAGACAGTGCCACACTCATGGCAGCAAAGCAAGGCACGTGCGCCCCACTCCCCACCCTGGCACTGGGGCAGGTGCTGTGCAGTTATACTGAGTGATGTGAGGCTTTCCTGAAAGGGGTCTTTCTCCACCTCTGGGGGCCTAGCTGCAAGTTTACGAACTGCCATTGCGACATCTCGTAACTGACACGTAGCGGGCTGAGTTAGGCCCAGGCACCCACAGCTGCTCCCCGTGGCTGGTTCATCTGTCACTCTACCGAGGGGCCTCTTGGGTGAACACTAGGTCTTTTTTTTCTTTAAAATGTATTTATTTCAGAGAGAGAGAGAGAGTCTTTTTTTCTGCTTTGGTTCACTCCCCAAATGGCCGCAATGGCTGGAGCTGGGCCAATCTGAAGCCAGGAGCCAGGACCTTCATCTGGGTCTCCAATGTGGGTGCAGGGGCCCAGGGACATGGGCCATCTTCCACTGCTTTCCCAGGCCACAGCAGAGAGCTGGATCAGAAGTGGAGAAGCCAGGACTTGAACCAGCGCCCATATGGGATGCCAGCACTGCAGGCAATGACTTCACCCTCAACATCACGGTGCTGGCCCCAGGACACTAAGTCTTATTAAACATCCAAGTTCAAAGACAGCCTCTGCAATCTAAAATGAGGAATACATGAGAGAGAAAACTGTTTAAAGGATGGTAGACTCCTGAGCTGCCTATGCCTCTTGCATTTCCCTGTGAATTTCGAGGCCTCTAAACAGAATTGCCTTTGCTGTCGGGGGCCATTCTGGACACAAGGGACCCCGGTGCTTATTCCTTGGCTGTCATTGGCTGAGTTGTGCACCCCACAGATGCACCCAGCAATGCTGGGCACACAGGGGAAAGGATTTCTGAGAAATGCAGAGAAGCAAGGGCAGGAAACCAGGGCAGACACTCTGCCACGGTGGTGCTGAATTGGCAACAGGGAAGATTTTTAACCTTCAGGATGGCTTGGAGTAAACCCCAGAAGTCAGCGGGGAGTGTGAGCTGCCTTGCTGACTATACTTTCCACTCCAGAGGCTGCAGAAACTGAGGGTGGGCAGCTGTGTGGCTGCAGTGTCACTGCACATGGAGCTGTATAGGGGCCTGAATTTTGTCTCCTGTGCCACCCAGCTAAGACACAGTTGGGGGCCTGCACTGCCAGACACCGGGGCTCCCACTTTTGCCTGGAGGACGATCACACAAGGACACTGATGGTTCCTCTGCCACTGCAGACTCTGGCTGCCCAGGGCACAGAGACAATGTTGAAGGAGAAGCAGGATCAGAGAAACAGCAGGGGCAAGACTTGGGTTCTGGTAGCAAAATGTGGTGCTACTGTGCATTTCAGACCTGGAAGCTACAGCTTCGTAAAACTGAAAGGATCAACTCCAAATCCCTTGGGCTCTTACCTCAATGTCTTTGAAAGCCCTGTCCCTTCAGGACTGGCTGTGTTCCTATAAGCATTCCTTGAAGAAAACACAGGATATAGTTAATGCACAATTTTCCCTAAATCACTCATTTTGCAAATTATCTACAGAAATCAGGGCCAAGAGCTCGGCGGCAGATTGTTGGGCTGCAGGAGAACTTTGTATTGTGTTGTATTGTATGACCTGCAGCTTCTGGGAGGATGTCGATGTAGAACCCAGGGCCAGAAAGAAAATGAACTTGCTACCAGCAGGAGGGGACAAAGCATTTGCCTGCTGGCTCCAGGAAGTCCTCCTTCAATGAGTATCCCAAAGTCCCTTCTTCTTCCTCCTAGCCTGTGCTGTCCTGATATGGTATCCATGGCCTTGGACACCATGATTCCTGTCCCTGAAGGCAGCAGGAGAGTCTAACCCTCCCTTGCAGATCTCTAATCATTCCCCCATACAAGTTGCATTGGCTGTCTCAGACCCTGCTGCATGGAATGTGTGTGAGGTCACATTGTTATTACGTTAAAAGGCCCCTTTCCTCCAGCTGTGGGCACGGAATGGAACAAAGGCAGACCTCTTCCTGCCATACTTCATACCACACTCTCACGGAAGGGAGAGACTGAAAGCCAATCTCATGTCGTCAGTGGCCAGGAGCCTGGAGCCTGGTCCAGGATGTTCCAAAGATTCCTCCTTGGTACCTCCCTGCTTACTTTCTTCAAAAGCAGGGTGCTCAGCCTGCATCTCCCTGTAGACAACAGAATAAGCAGATAAAGAAGAAAACCCAACTCTTTACCCAGAGATTTGTCCTACAGTACTTCTAAGTGTGCATAGATATGGAAACATTTATAATGTTGACTGAACCCAGAAAACCCGAGTATTAATCTCTTTTTTAAAAAAATTATTTTACTTATTTGAAAGGCAGAGTTACAGAGAGAGGTAGAGACAGAGAGAGAGGTCTTCTTTCTGCTGGTTCACTCCCCAGATGGCCACAACGACTGGAGCTGCACCGATCCAAAGCCAGGAGCCTCCTCCAGGTCTCCCACATGGGTGCATGGGGCCCAAGGACTTGGGCCATCTTCCACTGCTATCCTAGGCCATAGCAGAGAACTGGATGGGAAGAGGAGCAGCTGGGACTAGAACTGGCACCCATATGGGGTGCAGGAGCTTCAGGCCATGGCTTTAACCCACTGCGCCACAGTGCCAGCCCCGAGTATTAATCTCTTTTAAACAAAACATGAAGTGCTTCTGTCTGTAGTTTCTCTTCTCCAAAATAAGAGTATGTGTTGGGTTTAAGAGCATTTTTAAAATCTATGTGCATAAGGTGACATTATTATTATTCTCATTGTCTAAATGTTGGAAGCATTTATAATTCTAGCCAGCCATATAAGATGAGTTCAAAAAAGGAGATTAAAGGAAATTATTTTCTGAAGGTTCTCACCCCAGCTCTGGACATCACTGTTGAGTATTTAAGTTATACATGGTGATTTCTGTGATCTTAAATTTATTTCTGCAGTGTTCAGGTACAACAAATGAAGCTGGTTATTCCCACACTTGATTTCTTTTGTCGTCGTCATGTCTTGTTTTTTTTTTTTTTTTTTTGATAATCCGGCTAGGTGTGCGTGCTGGAGAGTAACTCGCATGCCAGAGCTAGCACGTTGTGTCCAGAGACCTTGGATGTCTCTGCTGTAGCAACGTCCTCCTGTGGCCAGCTTCCGACTGAGCTCTGTGTGCTGCTGAGAAAGCTCCTGGGTTTGTTTGCCTTTCTTTCATAAGTGCACAAGGAAAATGCAGCCCAGACCTCCAGGGAGAGAGATGTACTTATTCATTAGTCTCACCGATAGGGTTTGTTTTAGTCCTAAACACCTGCCAAAAGTCTGTATGAAGACTGCTCCACTTAGCCTAAAGAAGGCAGATACAGTCAGATGCCTTTCAGATAGAGAAGATCTCCCCAGAGTGTTGACAGCAAAGACAAGTGCAAATGTGAGTCACAGAGTGGCTTTCTCACGCGGCTCCCATGTGTGATTGATGGGTCTCCACTCGGGGAACACTGTCCTCCTTGCTTTCATTTTCATGCTGGTGTACCATTGTGTTTATTAATTGTTTTTTCTCTTAAGTGTGGAGGAACTCCAGAGCTCTTTGGCAGCAAAAACTAGAACTCTATACACATCAAACATCATGTGGTGGTCTTTTTCTTTTTTTTTTTTTTTTCAAGATTTATTTTATTTGAAAGGCAGAGTTACAGAGAGGCAGAGAGAGAGAGAAGTCTTCCATCTGCTGGTTCACTCCCCTAGATGGCTGCAACGGCCCCACTGGGCCAATCCAAAGCCAGGAGCCTGGCACTTCTTCCGTGTCTCTCACGTGGGTACAGGGGCCCAAGGACTTGGGCTATCTTCCGCTGCTTTCCCAGACAGGTTAGCAGGGAGCTGGATCAGAAGTGGAGCAGCTGGGACTTGAACTGGTGCCCATATGGGATGCTGGCACTGCAGGCAATGGCTTTACTGGCTATGCCACAGCGCCATCCCCTGGTAGAACCTTTAAAAGCTGGATAAACTCAAGGGATCTGAGGAGTTCTTACCACACAATCTGCTGCTCATAAGAGAGATTGATCCCAGAGCTCTGTCTGTGCCTCCCACCATCTGAAATCCCCAAGCATTGTGTTCTACTGCCTGGCGTATCCGCAGAGGTATGCAGTTGGCATGGGCACCAAGGGTTCCCTGAGGAATCCCAACACTGAGTACCCCAGTGCCAGCTCCAAAAGTACTAAGAGTCATTGACAAGGACTCTGTGCTGGCATGCGTTGTTGAGGCAGGGGCTGTGCGCCACTGAGAACATGTGAGTTGGAATCTTGGACAAGGAACACAGGCCCAACCCAGGGAACACTGCATTTTCAGGCCGGTAGCTGCTTGCCACAGTTGTGGCTCACGTCCATCGCCAGTGTGAGCTTGCTGTCCTCCGCTGTGATTTCTTGATGGAATCCATATCCTGTTGAAGGGAGTATGGTTGGTGTTTGGATTCTGGTTCCTTAAGGCAATGTAGGAGTTATTAATGCCATTAACAGCAGCTGTGAGGTAAGACGCCAATGCCAGCGTATCCCACCACCTTTCCATCTCCAGTTGGGCAAACGAGGGGCTGAGATGACTTCATAAATTAACTACTGATGGGGATCAGAACGTTGAACAGCTACTGTTGTAAGGACATCTAGCACGCCTGCGCGGGAATGGAGGCGCTCTTACACGGGGGTGTTCAGAATTCTTAGCTGCTAAAAACTTGGTCTAAGCTTCAGTGTGTGTTTAGGAAGGTATGAAACATCCAGAAGACTTCCAGGCTGTAAATGTGAAAAGAATGTGTGGTAGGCAGCCTGATGCTTCCCTGCCCCTCCCCCAAAATGTCCACAACCTAATCTCTCACCTGTGAGTATGTTACCTTCCATGGCAAAAGGGACCTTGCCGCTGTGATTAAGTTAAGGGCTTTAAGATGGGGAGATTACCTTGGATTATCTGGCCTGGGCCCCGTTTAATCGCATGAGCCCTCCAAAGCAGAGCACCTTTCCGAGCTGCGGTCACAAAGCAATGAACTGCAGGAGAATGATCAGCCACACTGGTGGCTTCAGATATGGAGGAATGTCCCCAGGAGCTAGAACAGGCAAGGAAATGCATGCTCACGCTGGAGGCTCCTGGGAGGACCGCAGCCCGGCTGGCACCGTGTTTGGAGCTCAGCGAGAGCCATGTCAGACTGCCAGCCTTCTGTAGACCCGAATGATGCCGAATCTGCGTTAGCTTTGCAGCCACTGCAGGATGAGTGAGCACGGTGCTTCAGTATGAGCATAAAGCAAGATGAATAGTCGTAGCCTGGTTTATTGTTAATTGAAGTGAGTTAATAAACAACAGGTGAGCCAAGCCTCCGTTAGGTGACAGTGATTGAAGCGTCTCCACGCAGCTCCAAGTGTGTCTTAAACCCACATCCTTTTACCATCACCAGAGACAGAGGAGATGTGTGAAAAGGCAGTCTTAGCTGACTCAGGGGGGAGAGCAGTTTCAGAGAAGGGTGCTATTATTCAGGTGTTGTCTCCGCAAGCTGCCGCAGGGGCCTAACTCCCTTTAAGTGTTCTTTTAAAACATGTAAGGTCACAACCTCAGGTTCAGTGTTGCACAAAGGAATTCCTCTCCAACAACACAGCAGTTCCAAATAGCTGGGCCTGGCCGGGCCTAAATCCTCACCTATTACATTACCTCGCCCGCTTAATCCCACTTCAGGGAGGATCAGTCCTGCTCTTAACATTTTTTTTTTTTTAAGTACTTGAGTGATTTAGCTGTCTTTAAGAGAAATTTTAGAGACTTTATTTCCACATTAACCTTAGGGTTTTCCAATTCAGGATGTTTTATTTAGTGTTTTCACGTTTGTTGACTAGTCCTAGTCTTATTATGGACTGATTGGTTCATATATTTGTTTCAAGAAGAGGGTCTTGAAAGAGAAAGGTTTGGATGAGTCAGAGTAGTTCTGTAGCTTTTGCTCTCTCCTCTTTTCTTAAAGATTTACTTATTTATTTATTTGAAAGGCCGAGTGTGTGAGAGAAAGAGGGAAGTCTTCCATCCTCTGGTTCACTCGCCAAATAGTGGCAACAGCCAGGTCTGGGCCAAGCCAAAGCCATGAACCAGGAACTCCTTCTAGGTCTCCTATATGGGAGGCAAGGACCCAAGTACTTGGGCCATCACCTGCTGCCTTCCCAGGCACATTAGCAGGAAGCTGGATAAGAAGCAGAGCAGCCAAAATTTGAAGTAACAGGATGCTTTAACCTCTGCACCACAGCACCAGTGTAGCTCCTCGCTGTCTTCTCTTAATAATGCGTTTGCCTCCTCATAAATAACCAGTCTCTTTGTGAACAAGGTGATACTTTCTGAATTTGTAGTGCAGTGTTTACCTGTGTTTGCCCCCTGCATTTCTCAATATTATATTCAGTGTTAACAGAATCCATCCACTTGACACTAAATGAGTTATGGAGCATATATCCACGCTAACATAATGATAACTAAATTCTAAGGAAGAAAAAAATTATGGTTTCTGCCTTGATTCTAGTCTTTTTTTCCCTGCATTTTACCCAGAGCCATCTGTGTTTCTGCATTCCTGACTCCTGACTGTAGTGTGGATCTCAGGCTTTATAAGCTCAATAGAAATCTTTTTAGCGAAGAGGAATAAGTATATGTTGTCTTCTGTTTTTCCACCCAAACAGTCGCTCCTGATGATCCCAGCAGGAAAATAGATGGTGATACCATTATTTTTTCAAATGTTCAAGAACGATCCAGTGCAGTGTATCAGTGCAATGCCTCAAATGAATACGGATATTTACTGGCTAATGCATTTGTGAATGTGCTAGGTAAGCTCTTCCTTTATTACATAAATGGCAAATTAAATTCATGCTATTTTCTTTTCATCCAGTAAAAATATATTGAACATCTATTGTAAGTAGTTGAAGCTGTGAAGGGTATATGAAGATGAATGCAGACTTTCCCCTATAGGACATTATGTGATCTTCATGTTCTGTCATAACACATCTTCAATAATGGCAACTTCTTTATTATAGCCATAATCAAATAGGCTCTTCCATTCATGGATAGTTAGACTAAGTGTTAAACCCTTCAAAAAGGAAAATATTATTTGTCTGCTCCTAGTGACTCAATGTTAACTTGTCTTCCATCTTTAGAAATTGACTTGTCTAATAACAATTTTGTGATTGTGACTGTTCAAAAACAAACCATTAATCATAAAGCTTAGCCTTTTTCCAAGTCATGGCTATGCATTTAATTTGCAAATGTATGTTTGGAAAACTATGACATACTCAAGCATATGAGTATCATGAGATTGGTTTATGTGAAAATTGTATTTATTATATTGGACAAAGCTATCAAAATACTACACTCGTCAAAATTTATGCAAGAATGGTTTTCATGGTACCAGGGAATTACACTTAAAGTCTTTGAGATTATTTGTGCTTCCTTTGCAAATAAAATGAACACCAGGCAGCCAATCAATTCTTGGTATTTTTCTTTAATGCCTGAAATGAGGTCATCACTCACATGGGAAGCTAAGTAAAGAGATGGCTGCCCGCTGAGGAACAGTGTTGAGTTCTGATGTTGTGTTTCACTCTCCTTCTGTTATGCTGGACTTTGCTAGATTGCACATATGAGGGAGAGAGATGGTATTCATCTTTCTGTGCCTGGCTTATTTGAAGCTCATTTGACTTAACGCAATGTCCTTATGTTCATCCACGCTGTTGCAAATGACAGAATTTCCTTCTTTTTTTAAAAAAATTCCTGAAATATAAAACTTGCTACCTTTGTCTTTTTGATGATAGGCATTCTAACAGGTGTAAGGTGATATCTCATTGTGTTTTTTTTTTTTTCAAGATTTTATTTTATTTATTTGAGAGGCAGAGTTGCAGACACAGACAGGGAGAGACAGAGAAAGGTCCTCTGTCCACTGATTCCCTCTCTATAAGTCTGCAACAGTTGGAGCTGGGCCATTATGAAGCCAGGAGCTTATTCTGGGTCTCCCCTGTGGACGCAGGTGTCCAGGCACTTGAGTCATCCTCCACTGCTTTCCCAGGTGCTTTAGCAGAGAGCTGGATTGGAAGAGAGGTTGCAGGACATGAGCTGGCGCCCATATGGGATGCTGGCACAATAGACAGAAGCTTAGCCTACTCTGCCACAGCACTAGCCCCTATCAGTGTGTTTTTAATTTCCCTGATGATGAATGATGTTGAGCATTTTTTAATGGACCTATTGGCCATTTGTTCATCTTCTTTTGAAAAATGTCTGTTCAAGGCCAGCGCTGCGGCTCACTAGGCTAATCCTTCACCTACGGCACCAGTACTCCGGGTTCTAGTCTCAGTTGGGGCTCCAGTTCTGTCCCGGTTGCTCCTCTTCCAGACCAGCTCTCTGCTGTGGCCCAGGAGTGCAGTGGAGGATGGCCCAAGTGCTTGGGCCCTGCACCCGCATGGGAGACCAGGAGAAGCACCTGGCTCCTGGCTTCAGATTGGTGCAGCGCGCCGGCTCTAGCGGCCATTTGGGGGGGTGAACCAACGGAAAGGAAGACCTTTCTCTCTGTCTCTCTCTCTCACTGTCTAATTCTTCCTGTCAAAGAAAGAAAGAAAGAAAGAAAGAGAGAGAGAGAGAGAGAGAGAGAGAAAGAAAGAAAGAAAGAAAGAAAGAAAGAAAGAAAGAAAGAAAGAAAGAAAGAAAGAAAGAAAGATGTCTGTTCAGATCCAGTCTCTGTTTTTTGGCCAGATGATTTGTTTTCTTATTATGGAGTTCAAGATCCTTATGTATATTGGAAATTAACCCCTTTGAGATGTATGGTTTACAATAGTTTTCTCCCAGTCCATTGTTGTCTTATCCCTCTTATTGATTGTTCCTTTGGCTGTGTAGAAGCTTTTGAGTTTGATGTTATTATCCCTTTTGTCCTGTTTTGCTCTATTACCCTGGTTCCATTAGTTAGTCATCACATTCATCACTGGTTTCTCTGCCAGCTTATGTGTTTCCCCTACCCCAGTTCACCTACTGGGATTGTGATTGGTTACTCATTAAAGAAAAATATTCTTGACACACACGGTGCTGAGGATAAAAGGATAAATAGTCCCATTTCCTGCATGCAAAAGACTCCCAGTATCATAAGAGATAGAGATAAGTAAGTCAAGAATTAAATTCATGCTTGTATAAGGTATGGGGTGTGAGATGGAAGGAGGAACCTTGTGGTTTTCCACGTTAGGTGACTGTTAATATGTCTGGTAGGAAAGTTGAAGGGAGAGACATATTAGTCGTGCTTCATTATAAACTTTAATGGTTTTAATACTAAATGCAAAAAATGTACTGTGGGCCTGAAATGTATTCTGATATTTACTGTACATTTTAAAAATGTTTTCAGCCGAACCACCTCGAATCCTCACATCTGCAAACACGCTCTACCAGGTCATAGCAAACAGGCCTGCTTTGCTAGACTGTGCTTTCTTTGGGTCTCCTCTACCTACCATCGAGTGGTGAGTAATGACCCTCTTTGTCCTATTTTTTTTTCTTTTTAGTATTTACATGTGTTAAAGCCTACACATTTCAAAATATGTTAGGCTTCAGTCAAAGAACATGCAGGTTGGTGGGTAGCAGGGTCGATTAAGCCACTGCTTGTGATGCCAGCATCCCATATGGGCACCAGTTCAAGTCCAGCTGCTCCACTTCCAGTCCAGCTCTCTGCTAATGTGTATGGGAAAGCAGCAGAAGATGACCCAAGTGCTTGGGCACCTGCACACACATAGAAGACCTGGAAGAAGCTCCTGGCACCTGGCTTCAGCTTGGCCCAATCCCAACCATTGCAGTCATTTGGAGAGTGAACCAGTAGATGGAACATCTAACTTTCTTGCTGTCTCTCCTTCACTCTCTCTGCCTCTGTTACTCTGCCTTTCAAATAAATAAATAAATCTTTAAACAAAAAACATGAAGGGTAAGGTAATACATAATCCATTGTGCTATTTATTACTAAATTCATTCCTTCATTCATAAATGCTTAACATGCTGTGTGCTGATTACTTCCATATGATCTGTTTAGCTGCCCACTCTGCCAGCCACAAAGCTATTATTACATTTTCAGAACCACAGGCATCACCTGGGACTTTGTGCATTGTAGCTGGAGAGACTGGTTGAGGGATATTCCTTGATAATGAAATATTAAATGGGGTGGGGTAGGGTTTGATAAGTTCAAAAACAGAATTTCTTTTGTGACATCATCCTTCAGTGTTGTTTCCAGGTCCCTCCCGTCACCCCACCAAGGAAACCAAAATCCATGAGCGCTCAAATCCCTTATATGAAATAGCTTAATATTTGCATGTAAACTATGCATGTCTTCTGCATGCTTTGTTACTTACAGTACCCAGTACAATGTAAATACTATGTACCTTGTTTTACTGTATTATTTAGGGAACCATGGCAAGAAATGTGCATGTTCAGTACAAATGCAATTTTTTCCAAATGTTTTCAATCTTTTTGAATGCACAGATGAACCTCAGATGTAGATGGCTAAAGGGACCTGTGTTTCCCTTTAGACCCTCTTGGCTCTTCCTGACTTGGGTACAGCCAAGCTCTGCTGTGTCCTTTCATGCCCTGTATTAGCCCATGGCCTTGTGCTACACCCTTGGTAGATAGACACCCTCTATGTCTTCTCACTCTGCTGACTTTAGCATAAGCTGGAAGAGACAGGGCTAGGGTAGTCAGTAGCTCAGGGAGACTGCTTGAAAGAAAACTGGGATATTCACTTATTGATGAGAATTGTAGCCTACAGATAGAGCTACAAATGCACCACAGTTGGGTTGGAAACTGTCAAAAAGAGCGGTCTTCATTCTGTTTTATCACCTATTTAGAGATAAACTAGTTAATAATGTATTTATTAAACCATGAGTCTCTAATAGGAAAATTTACAGTTTAAACATTGTGTGTTGCCTAATTCTATAAGCCCTGTGTATTGTTGGAGTTTACAGTTTTGTTTGGTCTTTCCACTTACCTCCTGGCATACAAGCATGCCATGTGCTTATGCAGATTCCAAATATCTGCACTTGACAGCTGAACGCAGACTGTGGTTGTGTTGACCTTGAACGTGGCATCTGGCATCTTCCAGTCGTGACGAGTTTTCGTTTGCCTTGTGATTTTTTTTTTTTTCTGCAACACAGGTTCAAAGGCGCCAAAGGCAGTGCTCTTCGTGAAGACATTTATGTTTTACACGACAACGGAACTTTGGAGATCCCTGTGGCCCAAAAGGACAGTACAGGAACTTACACATGTGTTGCTAGGAATAAATTAGGGATGGCCAAGAATGAAGTGCGCTTAGAAGTCAAAGGTGAGATGGGGATAACGCACGTTTTTCAAGCGCTGTGTGACTTGCTGCAAGTTCTCCAGCTTTGCCGATGGCTAAAAAGAACTTTGCCTTTCAGACCCCACAAGAATCATTAAACAGCCTGAGTACGCGGTTGTGCAGAGAGGGAGCACTGTGTCCTTTGAGTGCAGAGTGAAACACGATCACACCTTAATCCCCACCGTCATGTGGCGCAAGGACAACAATGAGCTGCCCAGTGACGAAAGGTACTGGAAGGCAGTTTCTTTCCTTTCTGTGAACGTGTTCAGCTTCTGAAGTCTGCTGTCTCCAGAGTAAAGAGATCGGCTCTTTCTCCCTACTGTAAAAATATTTGGACCTAAAGAGGTATCAAGTGATTGAAATAAGACCCTGAGAATGTTTGTCTAGCTTTGTGTGTCGGTCCCCCGTGTAATTCAGGGAGAGAAAAATCCTTCAGGCCTCGGCAGGCACGCATTGTTTTATACCCTGAACAGTGATGTCTTGACAGATGTTCTCACTGCCTTCCTACAAAGACACAGAAATGCGATCGCTCTGATCGCACAGAGAATCCTCGTCACTATTTTAAGTGACATTCGTTGTTGATTTTTATGTCAAGCCAGGGGGAAGGGAAGGAAAAGCAAAAGCAAAGCAGATGAAGCGTGTAGGAGAGGCTGAGCGTGTGGCAGTCCTGCAGCCTCGAGATGGAAGGAAGGGCACATGTTCCCGTGGAAGCCTTTGATCTGCCATCGTAAGTGCACAGAGCTGTATACGAGGATCACCCTTTAGAGAGGGAGCACCGGGCTCTGGTGCAAATGCGCTGTGTGGTCCTCCGCAACTGACTCAAACCTCGGTGCCCACGTGGTGCCCTCCTGTGTGTCAATGGCCACCAAAGAACTCTGTGACCGCCTCTCTTATAAGCCCAGAATTTTTTGTGGAATCTGAGTTGGTAAGGGAAAAGACGAAAATAGAAGTGCTGGGGCCAGTGCTGTGGTGCTGGCATCCCATATGGGCACTGGTTCAAGTCCCAGCTGCTCCTCTTCCAGTCCAGCTCTCTGCTAAGGGCCTAGGAAAAGTAGTGGAAGATGGCCCAAGTGCTTGGGCCCCTGTGCCTGCGTGGGAGACCTGGGAGAAGCTCTTGGCTCCTGGCTTCCAATTGGCCCAGCTCTGGCTGTTGTGGCAATTTGGAGAGCGAACCAACAGATAGAAGACCTCTCTGTCTCTCTGTCTCTCCCTCTCTCTGCCTATAACTCTGCCTCTCAAATAAATAAGTAAATGTTTAAAAATAGAAAAAAGAAAGAAAATAGAAGTGACCATGAGGTTAACTTGGCTGGTGCTTTAACTTATAATTTAAATAAGAAGAAACTTTATGATTTTTGCAGCTTCATTAAAAATCACACGTGAATCCTATATACATTTTAAACATTTTTTGTTTTAATTTTATTTGAAAGAGAGAGAGAGGCAGTGATAGAGAGTGAGCTTCCATCTGCTGGTTCACTCCCCAAATGTCCACACCAGCCAAGGCTGGGCTGGGCGGAAGTCAGGAGCCAGGAGCTCAATCCGGGTCTCCCTTGTGGATAGCCAGGACCCAAGTGCTTGAGCCATCATCCCTGACTCCCAGGGTGAACATTAGCAGGAAGCTGGAAACAGGAGCATACCTGGAACCCAAACCCGAACATTCCAGTATGGGAATGGGCATCCAAACTGGTATCTTTTTTTTTTTTTTTTTAACATTTATTTAGTTACCTGAAAGGCAGAGTTATAGAAGAGAGAGAGAGCAGTCTTTCATCTGTTGGTTCACTCAGACTGGGCCGGTCTGAAGCCAGGAGCTTCTTGCGGGTCTCCCACATGGGTGCAGGGGCCCAAGCACTTGAGCCACCTCCCACTGCTTTCCCAGGTGCATTAGCAAGGAGCTGGATTGGAAGTGGAGCAGCTGGGACTCAAACTAGCACCCTTATGGGATGCTGAAGCCACAGGCAGCAGCTTTACCCACTACACTACAGCACCAACCCCTGCAAGTAGTGTCTTAACTTTTGTGCTGAACACCCACCCCTCTGCACTTGATTTTTGACCCAGTTAGTGATTTCTTATGTCCACAAATAGCATCTAGTAAACTCTTGGTAGAGATCGCTGATCTAAATCTTCCTGCTTCTAGTGACAAAACAGGTTGCTCTTCTTTGAACTTCCTTTCTCCTCTGAGGTCGAGTGTCCCTTATCTGAAGTGCTTGGGATCAGAAGTACTTCCAGTTTCACATTGTTTCAGATTTTAGATTTTCAGGCTGGGGATGCAAAACTTGCTCAGACATTTTCGCTCTAACTTGGTTGCTTTTACGTCAGTGAAGCCACAGCTGAGACGTGGTTGTGTGGCCATCCCAGCGGCTCTGACTGTGCTGTGTTCCAGGTTCACCGTGGACAAGGATCACTTGGTGGTGACTGACGTGAGGGACCACGATGGCGGGACGTATACATGTGTGGCCAACACGACTCTGGACAACGTCTCTGCCAGCGCTGTGCTCACTGTTGTTGGTAAGAACTGGAGTAAATAAGACCCAGCTGGCTTCCCCGAGTTAGGCTGAAAGACAGAGACCGAGCATGCATTCACGTGAAATGTTTGCTGGTTGGACTTTGGCAACCTTAGCGTGGGTGAGTTAGTACTTTCTTCTTGGAAAGACGCTTTTGAGTTGATAATTTCAGCGTAAATATCATCCATGGCAGTTCTGGGATCAAATGATGAATCTGCCCCCTGGTGAGATTTTCATCTGAAAATTAGGGCAAATCCTCTACTTCTCTTTTGAAATGAAGGCTTTTTTCCCTCTGTACTGTTACTGCATGGAACCAGTGCCCTGCTTATCAGCTAATCATAGAGCTTAATTTTATAATCTTAATCACATTGCAGTCTTTGTCTTCTTGTGTATCTTATATCTCTCCTTTCCTGATTGTGATTAAATCCTTTATATTGATGTCCTTTCTAGCTCCTACTCCAACTCCAGCTCCCATTTACGGTAAACTAATATGAGTCTTGTTTCGCGATTTTCTGTTAAACAATTTCACATTTGCAGAAAAAAAAATTCATCGCTTTCTTTCCTCTATCACATCATTGTGTTTCTTAATGGAAAACGGTACTGTCTGTTAATGGTGTCAGTCATTTACTGTGGCTTATCATTTCTTCATTATAACCCCCAAATTCTTCACTGAGTTTATTGCCAGTTGTTTATAAATATTTCATGTGCTATAAATAAAATCATTGCATTTGATAAAAAATCCCTCTTGGATAGTTTCCCTGTCAGGGCTCATAGTGCTTATTGCAAAAGTCATCAACCACATTTTATAGAATGAGAAAGCTGTTTTTAATGTCATTCCACAAATTAGGGTTTGACTTCAATCTACTAAAGGTTGTTTTGGAAAAATAAGTGTTGTTTTGGGGATTCCATTTTCAAGAAATTTACACCAGAAAAAAATGAAAATTGATAATATTTAGCATTTATATTAGAGATGACTGACACACTCTGTAATAGGAGATAAATCACTAAAGAAAGACCAAAAGGAGGGACACACCTCTGTGTGTGACTTGTCTGAAAATGGAAAATAAATCAGAAGTGATTTCCAGAAGTCTTTGTGTTTCGAGAAACTCATCTTTATTCAACACATAAATGCAAAAATTAATTTTGTGGCATAATCTCAGTGGGATTTTCCTTAGTATCTGATTATCGTACATAAGGCGTGCCCTTTGTACACACTCACTGCTTTATTACTGGTGGAAGAAAGAGCTCATATGGCCTCTTGCTGCCCCTCAGGAGCCAGAGTTACTCCCAAGAACAAGGTCAAAAAAAGGCCTTTCCCGGGGGGAACCACTGGAAAGGCACACTGCTTCTGCGTCCCTACTGCTGTTCTCTGAGAGGGAACACACCTTGCATGCCGCGTCGGCTACCTGCATACCGTCTGATTGAGAATTCCCTTAAGAATTTTAATATTGTTCAGCAACACCAAAGTCGACCATTCTGCATGTTTCAGAAAGAATGTTGACATCACCTTTCACGCCATGCATTTGCCTGTGTTTGTTCTTTAGCATTGGCTTGTCTCTGTTTCCCATGTAGTAGAAATTCCGCTTGGCTCTTATTTTTTTTTCTGCCTGTGCTTGTTCATGTCTGTGAGAAGACACACACCGAGAGTGCTGATGAACCATGTATGTCTGCCTTTGCCTTGTTGGTTTGAGTTAGAAATGAGTAAAGCTGTATTTGAAAAACAAGCAGGCCGAACTCATGGGCGGGTTGTCTCGGGTGTGCTGCCTCCGTTGTCTCCATTTCGTTCCAGTTGCATGCTCGTTGACTGTTGAGTGTGCTGTGTCTTGTAGGTATCCCCTGTGAGCCGTGTCACAGAGGGAGCCTCTTCAGTATGGATGCCTAACCAGGAGGTGTGTGTTCCATCCACAGATGTCCCAAATCCTCCCTTTGACTTAGAATTGACAAATCAACAGGACAAGAGTGTTCAGCTGTCTTGGACCCCGGGTGATGACAACAATAGCCCTATTACAAGTAGGTGCTGTTACTTGCTTTGTCGGGGTCAACGTCACGGCCATTTTTGAAGCAGTTTATAATAAGTGACTAACATTTCTCATTAAAATATTTTCTGGTCTTCTCTGCTGTGTTCCTGATAGCATACAAATAGTTGGTTTTTGAGGCTAGATCTCTTCAGAGATGGAGATTTTCCTGCTTATAGTGTCTAGTAGAGGATATTAACTAATTGCTAATAGTATTGATTAAGTAAATACACCATCACTTCTGTTTAAGACACTTGAAAATCATCTTAAGGATCTACCGCAGTAGAAAGGTGGATCTTTCTTAATATGATTGGTGGATCAGGTGCTCAAGGGCACAGTCTAGGGTTGAGTATTTGGTCTAGCAGTTAAGCCTCTGTTTGGGATGCCCACCTGGCGTAGCACATCAGAGTGCCTGGGTTTTAGTCTTGGCTCAGCTCCTGATCCAGCTTCCTGCTAATGCGAACCCTGGGAGGCAGCAGTGATGGCTCAAGTGCTTGGCTTCTTGCCACCATTGGAGACCTAGAATGAGTTCCTGGGTCTTGGCTTTGGCCTGGCTCAGTCTTGATGTTGTGGGTGTTTGGAGAATAGACCAGTGAATGAAAATTCTCTCTCTCTCTCCCTCCCTCCCTTCCTCCCTCCCTCCCTCCTTTCCTTTCTCTCCCTCCCTCCCTCTTTAATAAAAAAGACTTGTCTACATATTATGAAACTGAGGCTTGGGAAAATACTTTTTAAGCACAGATAGTAACAGAACAAACTGGTTGCAGTCATCAGGCCTGTTAACTCCTCACCCACGTCTCTTTCTTCCCATTGCCCTTGCTATAAAGTTGCACGTTCAATAATGCCAGCTCTTTGCCTTGCTGACACAGGCGTGGGGAATAGTCAGATGAAAGACCATGCCCTAAGGCTACTGGAATAGCCTTAATAAATTAGAATACAGGCAAGCATAGAAGTTTACCTGTAAAACTGAAGAGATACTTCTACAAGAGTGGATACCAGTCACAAGCCTAAAATACGTTATCACCGTTAGACAGTATTCCTGTCTGATGATTGCATAAGCCTGTTCTGAAGTGATCCATGTGTTGATTTATTGTACCTCCTGGCCAAGCAGAACATTATCAATGAAATTGCACAGTTGCCTCTTCTCTATCTGTACTTAGTGGTACGACTCTCTGACTTGAGTTTTCAGCATCATTGGTCCAAGCAGGCTGAGCCTCCCAGCTCGTCTGCTGTATTAGTCAGCTGGGGACTCTGTATGTGTGTGTTAAAATGATGCTATGAGATTTCAAAACATTTTCAGTCTACCACTATTAACTCATTCATTCAACAGATAGATATTTATTGAAGTGCTAATGAAGTGCTAGACATTGTTCTAAAACCAAGCAGTTGAAAATCTGTGCCTTCACAGAGCTGGTGCTTTAGATGTGGACACAAATAAGACAAAATTCCTAACAGATACTGTTGTATATAATGTCATATATTGTATGTACTGTATATGCGTGCACATGCTCATACACCCATGCTGCTCAGTCTACCTTCAAGAGAGAACATGCAGTAAGGAGTGGTACTGCCAGCCCCCATCTGTTGCATCTCCCTGAGGATTAGCAGAGTTCACATGGGCCACCCGCTTCCTGGACTGCTCCAGGGACTGAGCACTCAGCGTCCTAGAGCTCAGCCGTGCCTCACGCGGAACTCCTCTGCTGGGCACACTGTCCCCTTGGACTCCTTGTTGACCTGGCTGAGTTGTGTGGAGCTGCACTACACACGGAGGCTCTTCCTCCCCTCTTCTCTCCTAGCTCAGTCTTCAGACCTGCAGTTCCCTGCCACCTCTCCCCTTTATCGTCCTTGGACTTGTCCCCAAGTCAGTCTCCTGCATTTCTAATTCTGACTTAGCATCTACTTCCTAGGGGCTGCAAACATGTGTATGAGTCTGTTTATCTGTACACATAGCTATAGCTGTGTGTGTGTGTGTGTGTGTGTGTGTGTGTTTAGGCCATGCCAACAACAAACTGGGAGATAGAGGAAGGACGTCTGGGGTATAACCATGAGTAAGGTGACCAGGAAAGTTCACAGGAAGAAGGCAGCGTTTGAGTATGTCCATCAGGGCCTCAGAGGGAGGTCAGCGAGTGCACTTTGCAGTTATCTGGAGGAAGAACTTTCCAGGAGGAGCACAGACCATGAGACAGGGGCACATCTGCTGGGAGGCTGGTGTGACAGCAATGTGTTGAACAAAAGGAAGTGACGTGGGAGAGAAAGCCACAGCAGCGAAGAGCGAGGCGGTGGGAGTGCAGTGTGGCTTGTGCTGGGTCCTATATGCTTCTCTGGGGCTGGGAAGCCCATGGAGGGATGTGAGAAGAGGAGTGAAGAGTGAGTAACTGGCTGTCCCATTGCAAATGGTCTGCGGACTCACGAGAGGGGGAGTAGAAAGCCCAGGTAAAACTGAGATTCGCAACCTACACACTGAAGTGCCCCCTCACTACCCAGAAAATTCACAATGTTCCTTGGGATATTTTAAGGCCTAATTTAAAAGCTTTAATACTTAAAAAATACAGTGATGGGTTGGCATTGTGGTGCACTGGTTCAAGCTGCTGCTGGCAGCACCAGCATCCCATATCGGAGTGCCAGTTCAGGTCCCACATGCTGCATTTCCAATGCAGCTCCTTGCTAATGCATCTGGGAAGGCAGCAGAAGATGGCCCAAGTACTTGATCCCTGCTGCCCACATGGGAGACCAGGTGGAGTTCTGGTTCCTAGCTTTGGCTTGGCTCAACCCTGGCTGTTGCAGCCATTTGCAGAGTGAACTGGAGGGTAGAAGATCTCTCTGTCTCTATTTCTCCCACTTCCTCTGTTATTTTCTTTTCAAATAGATCACTAGGTAAATCTTTTTAAAAAATTAAAAACACAGTGACATCCGTCAAATACCAGATGAAATTAGCTTGGAGCAATTTTCCTTTTCAGCATCCTATTGCTATTTCAAATTGTGTTGATGTCATATCTCTGCAGAGCATTTGCAGTGATAAACAGCAGGTACGACGTGAAAGTCATTGTGGAATACGAAATGAGGAAAGTAGCATCCATTCTGCTTGCAGGGCAGGTTGTGCCATACCCAGTAGGTTTTAAATTGTTTTAAAATAAAAATATTTTTAGTTGGATGGATCTAAATCTTAATACATGAAAACATTAGATATTTCTTTTGGCCTATGGAAATCATTAAAAGAAATTTACTAAGACACCAAGTAAACCTTGAGAAAGTTTGGGCATTAGTTTGCAAGCATGTCTGCTAATTCAACAAGAGTAGGTTGGAATAGGATGAGATGGCTGGAGAAGCTGAGAAACGGTCAGATTTAGGATCTGTTTTCATGGTGTGGACAGCGGGACTAACTGAGAGTGCTGAAGGAAGGGAAGAACCAAGAAGGACTCCATTCTCTTAACCTGAGTCGTCTCTACCTGTTGGGAAAGAAAGTTGGAGTACGTTTTGATAATATTCAGTTTGAGATGCTGTAATACACAACCACGTTGAATTATTGAGTAGGAAATTGGCTCTCAAAGTCTGCAATTCAGGGGAGAAGTCTGCTATAGAAATATGAAATTGATGAGACTGGAAATGACCAGCAAATGAATAGAGTTTGAAAGGAGAATGCCGGCCGGCACCGCAGCTCACTAGGCTAATCCTCCGCCTGCGGCGCCGGCACACCAGGTTCTAGTCCCGGTCGGGGGGGGGGGGGGGGGGCCGGATCCTGTCCCGGTTGCCCCTCTTCCAGGCCAGCTCTCTGCTGTGGCCCGGGAGTGCAGTGGAGGATGGCCCAAGTGCTTGGGCCCTGCACCCCATGGGAGACCAGGAGAAGTACCTGGCTCCTGGCTTCAGATCAGCGCAGTGGGCTGGCCGCAGGCCGCAGCGGCCATTGGAGGGTGAACCAACGGCAAAGGAAGACCTTTCTCTCTGTCTCTCTCTCTCTCTCACTGTCCACTCTGCCTGTAAAAAAATGATAATAAAAAAAAAAAGAAAGGAGAATGCCAAAGACTTGGCCTTGGACCATTGCAGCAACACCTATATTTCTAGGGGAATTTTTCTTGAAAGTAAAATGACTCGTGTCTGCCTACACTTGTTCGATTGCCCTGTTAGTTGTTGCTACCAGTCTACTCCTAGGATGACTGAATTTACCATCTTGGCTTTGCTGTGTCTCTGTGATGTGGCCAGAATTCATCGTCGAATATGAAGACGCAATGCATGAGGCAGGGCTGTGGCACCACCAAGCGGAAGTGTCTGGAACGCAGACCACGGCTGAGCTGAAGCTGTCTCCCTACGTGAGCTACTCCTTCCGCGTGATGGCCGTGAACAACATCGGCAGGAGCTTGCCCAGCGAGGCTTCGGAACAGTATCTGACCAAAGCTGCAGGTAAAGCGAGACTGAGAGATGTGAAATACATAGAAAGCCTTGACAGCACTTTTCAGAGGTCCTAAGCTGACACATATGTGTCTGCTTAACTTCTAGAACCAGATAAAAACCCCACGGCTGTGGAAGGGCTAGGATCCGAACCTGATAACTTGGTGATTACTTGGAAGGTGAGCAATGAAGCCTTCATCTTTCCTTGGGACTTCTTAGCATGGAGAGAAAAAATGGGAAACTGATATCTACATAAAATCCCCTGTCGCCCATTTCTGGGTGAAACTATGTATCCTTATTGAAGAGGCAATGTTAAAAGCTTGATCTCTGGTGCCAAAATGAATGGGTGCAAATCCCAGCTCTGCCACTTAACTGTAGGACCATCAATCAGTGGTTGGTGACTGTTAGGGAACTCTATGATGGGAAAATAATAGAACTGACCTCATAAGATTGAAGGAATTGATATACATATAAAGCACCTAGCTTAGCACAAAAAAACTAGCTAGTGTTACATGTAAAACTCCCAGAAGATATGCATCAGGCTATTTCTGTTAGTCAATATTTTTTTTTGGCTTATCTGTATTTTCAGGAATTGGGAAGTGAACATATATTTACTTGTGTAATTTTATTTATAACAAAGTAATGTCTTCCATTTTCTACTTTTCAACGTAGAAAGTAAGTCTTTGTAAAATTTATATTTATTTATTTGTTATGTTATTTGAAAGGCAGGGAGACAGACAGGGATCTCCCATCTGCTGGTTCACTCCCCAAATGCCTGCAACATCCACAGCTGGGCCAGACTGAAGCCAGGAGCTAGGAAGTCAGTCTAGAGCTCCTGTGTGGGTGGCAGGGGCCCAAATACTAGAGCCATCACCTGCTGTCTCCTAGAGTGTGCCTTAGCAGGAAACTGTAATCAGAAGCAGAGCCAGGACTTGCGCTCTTAATTTTTTTGAAAGATTTATTTATTTCTTTGAAAGGCAGAGTTACAGAGAGAGATAGAGTTATCTTCCGTCCACTGGTTCACTCCCCAAATGTTACAATGGCTGGAGTTGGGCCAGTCCAAAGCTGGGAGCCAGGAGCTTTTACTGGGTCTCCCACATGGGTGCAGGAGCCTAAGGGCTTGAGCCATCCTCTGCTGCTTTCCCAGGTGCATTAGCAGGGAGCTGAATTGGAAGTAGAGCAGCTGGGACTCGAACTGGCTCCCAAGTGGGATGCCAGCACTGCAGGTGGCCGCTTTACCCTCTATGGCACAGCACTGACCCCACCAAGACACTCTGATATGGGATGCGGGCATCCCTAACAGTGTTTTCATTGGTTCACCAAATACCTATCCCTAAACCTGTTTTAGCTGGAACCATGCCTACTATTTATAGATACACCTATGTGTATGTACTCATGAACATAGGGCATGTAGAAACAGAATAAAACAACAGGCCAACTTATTTTTAACAGTGAGGGAAACACTTTATAAGTTTTAGTCTCCCAGTAAATTGGCCCATGGAGCGCTATCCCCCAGAAAGGAATATCTAGAGCAATCTTTATAATTGAAAGGTTTTAGGAGTCACCCACTCTTGGCTGTGGAGCGCCACTTTGAAAGGTGTATGTCATATTTGCTGCTTCAAGATAGTAATTTACAACCTTTGAAATGTTGATCCCAAACAATCTTTGAGTCTCATTGCAAACAGAAGAGAAGAACTCTCAGAGGGCCCTGCAGGAAATAGTTTTTAGCCAGTGTCCTAGTGCTGCCGCACCTGTTTCTTTAGGTATGGGAACTGAGTCTGCTGTTCCCGTGTGGTCGCTCAGTTTTATAAACTCTGAGTATTTGGCTTTCCTTGTAGCCCTTGAATGGTTTTGAATCCAATGGGCCAGGCCTGCAGTACAAAGTTAGCTGGCGACAAAAGGATGGTGATGATGAGTGGACGTCTGTGGTGGTGGCCAATGTGTCCAAGTATATTGTCTCCGGCACGCCGACCTTCGTTCCTTACCTGGTCAAGGTGCAGGCCCTGAATGACGTGGGGTTTGCTCCTGAGCCAGCCGTCGTCCTGGGACACTCTGGGGAAGACCGTAAGTAAGCGTTGCTGTTTCCTTTGTACTTTTCCCTGGCAAAATAGACAAGTTCAAGTGCAAGTGAAGGTTACATCCAAAAGTACTGAAGTTACGGGGGTGGGGTTGCAATTATTTTGCTTAATTTCTCTGAGTTTAACCTCCTGCTATGGAAGAGAGGTAGTATGTTAAAAGTTATTCCTTTATTAAGGTTTATTTATTTATTTGTTTTAAAGGCAGAGTTACAGAGAGAGAGAGCTCTTTCATCCCCTGACTCAATCCCCAAATGACCACAATGGCCAGAGCTGGGCCAGGCCAAAGCCAGGAGCTTCATCTGGGTCTCCCATCTGGGTGCAGAGGCTCAAGCACTTGGGCCATCTTCCACTGCTTTCCCAGGCATATCAGCAGGGAGTGGGATTGAAAGTGGAGCAGCTGGGACTCAAACCAGCACTCAGATGGGATACTGGTGTCACAGGTGGTGGCTTAACCTGCTGTTCTACAACTGCCCCGTGACTCTTTTTCCTAAACAGTTTTTCTCATAAAGTCAAATGAACAGACACCCAAAACAGTCTCCTTTCAATTCTTCAAAAATCGGTTGATTAGGACTAGGGCAGGCTTCAAAGCCAAAGGTATTCAAGATAGTGACATTTTTGCCCAAAATTCGAAATAACACTGAAACCTGTGCTCTCCTTCCTCCTTCCCTGTCGTCTCCCTAGTCCCCATGGTGGCTCCCGGGAACGTGCGTGTGAACGTGGTGAACAGCACCTTAGCCGAGGTGCACTGGGACCCTGTACCTCTGAAAAGTATCCGAGGACACCTGCAAGGCTATCGGGCAAGTGAAGAGGGCTCTTCCCTGTCCCTCCCTTAGCAACGGGGCTCTTCCCTGTCCTCCCTTAGTACCGGGACGTCAGCAAAGGCCGCTTGTCGCACACACGTCACAAGGTTGGAGCTGTGGGGTTCCTCTGCTCAGGAACTCGTGGACTCAACAGCTGGTTATCGCATCAGGCAGGGCCACATTGGAAGGACCCCATCCAGAGCTGACTTCCAGTCTCACTGCATCCAAAGTGACAAGCAGAGGTTTTCTCCAGTGTTCTAAGATTCTGCCAGCTAAAAGATTAACATGTACAAAACCGGGGGAAATAATTTTTGGAAAGATTTATTTTGCTTATTTGAAAGAGAGAGAGAGAGAGAGAGAGCTTCCATCCTGTTTCATGCCCCAAATGGCCACAACAACCAGAGCTAAGCCAGGCTGAAACCAGGAGCTAGGAGCTTTTCCCACGTGGGTGCAGGGGCCCAAGCACTCAGGCCATCTTCTGCTGCTTTCCCAGGTGCATTAGTAGGGAGCTGGATTGGAAATGGAGCAGCTGGACTTGAGCTGGTGCCTAAATGGGTTGCCGCTGCAGGTGGTGACTTAACCTGCTACACCACAACACCAGCAAAGGAAAACTAAGTTTTAAAGAACTTGAATATAATGAAATGCACCTTGCTTTAAAGCAATATATACCACATGTGTTAAACACACAAAAATGGCCTGGTAATAATTTGGGCATTTTAAAATAATTTAGATTATAATTGAAGACCATATAGTTCCAACTGAGTAATTCTTGTAAACATCAATTGTCTTCCTTTTGGGAAGCACAGAAAAATGGATTCCTAGAAATTTTGATTAACTGACATACACCCAAAGAATTATTTTTGTGCTTGAAGTCTACGTGTGTGCATGCATGCGCGTGCGTACACACACACACACACTCCTTGATTTGTTAATCCTGACACCTAGCGTTCACTTTTTGTACTGCATCATGTTTGGTTCCCCTCCCCACCCCCACCCCCGCACTACCAGATTCTGATTATATGTTGACTTCTCTTGGAAATGCCTCTAAATCCCTAAGAAGAATTAAAGGAAACTTAATAAATAAACATAATTTAAGGAAACAAGTAATCACAAATTATGGATTTGCTATCAAAGTCAGTAGATGCTTATCTATCTCTAAAAATTTTGCTTACAACTTAATGCCAAGAAAAAGTTTTTAATTACACAGAACAGTTTGGCTTCATGGAGAATGCCTAGACTCAAAGTAGAGAGTCCCCTGTGGCTTTGGGAAAGTCCCTCGATAGCTCAGAATCTCATGTACCATAGGAATAATAATAATAAAAGCCTCACTGTGGCTTTTAGGATTAAAGTAAATCATATATCATACATGAACTTGTATTAACTCAGGAAAAGTATATAAATATGAGGCAGTAATTTTTATTTTTTAAAAAAGAGATTTTATTTATTTGAGAGGCAGAGTTACAGACAGAGAGAGGCAGAGAAAGAGAGAGAGGTCTTTCATTCGCAGGTTCACTTCCCCAAATGGCTGCAACAGCCAGAGCTGGGCCAGTCCAAAGCCAGAACCAGGAGCTTCTTCTGGGTCTCCCATGTGGGTGCAGGGGCCTGAGTAATTGGGCCATCTTCTACTGGTTTCCCAGACCATAGCAGAGGGCTGGATTGGAAGAGGAGCAGCTGGGACTCGAACCTGTGCCCATATGGGATGCCAGCACCACAGGTGGAGGCTTAACCTACTATGCCATGGCCCCATGTAATTTTTATTTTAGGAACATTTTATGCAAGTGAAAGACTTAAATCCTTCTATTGCTATCCATTTGCTTGGTGTTCTGGAGAGGACCTACTGGGTCTTGTGTTATTTCATTTATTTCTCTTCTACTCTGAGAAAACAGGATAGCCCTGCTTTGTCATGTCATCTTAATTTAACTTCCCTCATTGTCTCTGGACTTCCATTCTTCTGGGCTCACAATCAGTATCCATTGGTTTTGCTAGTAACTTTCTTCGAAAATGCACCAAGGAATTTTCAAGAAAGACAAGTGTCTTCAATTTGTGAGCGTGAGGAATCTTGTTTGCTGCGTCATGCTTTTCTGACTTGCATTCTTGCTGTTGCAGATTTACTACTGGAAGGCACAAAGCTTATCCAAAAGAAACAGACGTCACATTGAGAAGAAGATCCTCACCTTCCAAGGCAGCAAGACGCACGGCATGGTACCGGGGCTCGAGCCCTTCAGCCACTACTCCCTGAACGTCCGCGTGGTCAACGGCAAAGGCGAGGGCCCGGCCAGCCCGGACAGAGGCTTCCACACCCCAGAAGGAGGTATGGGATGGCCAGGTCTCTGAGATCTCAGAATGTAGGGTGTGGCCCGGGAGGCTTCCCATATAGTATATTCTAGAAGCTCAGGGCTATTTTCCCAAGCACCCACAAAGCTGACAGAACCGCACTCATGCTGCCCTAAAACACCCTCTCCCTCGACTTACACACTTTCTCCACATTTATGCTTTCCAAAACCTTGGCCATTTGGTGTTCACTTGGGTCGTTCACTGACCTGGGGCAAGTTCTAGAACTTTTCTGCACCCCAGCCGTCTCACATGGGAAGCGTATGACCTCAACGGGTTGAGCTAAGGGGACCACCTAGAGAGGAAGCTGTTCCTATCTGTTGGGGATGTTTCTAGAGCTTCTTTCTCAGCACACGCTCATAATCTGGAAGTTATGTAAATGTGGAAAGTTGTCAACTTGCGCTGAGTTAGAAGGTTGGACGTCTTGGCCATGTGGGTTGGAAAGAGAAGGGGGAATCATTATTGCAGGAATGGGTGGCTGTGAGTGGGGAGCAGAGAGGGCCCAACACACGCTGACGGGAAGAGGCAGACGGGAGTTAGGGCACAGGTGTGCTGGACTCTGGGTTACAGGGGAGAAGGAACCAAAGGGTAAGAAGGAGGGGAGTGAGTGGGAAAGACCCTGGAGCTCTATTTTTAAATCTGCATCCAGACAGCCATGAAAATAGACCAGACAGCTTCTGCGGGCCCCTTAGATCTTTTTGATAAAGGAATTCACAGACACATTCTGTCCTGGCTTAGGATTCAGAGCTCCTGATGTTGGCAGCTGCCCAGCAGCCTCCAGCCCTGTGGCCCAACTCCCCTTCCACGGCAGGTGCTTATCCTCAGTCTCAGTCTGCTCAGAGGCTCAGGGCTCCTTCCACTCCAGGCTTCCCTGCCTCTGGTCCTTTGGAAGGTGCAGGGGAAGATGGCCCAGAAGAGATGATCTGATAAAAAGGGTTCAAGTACAAGGAAGAGAGGGGACAGCATGTCTGAAGACTTAAGGGGTTCCTTCAGGACACTGAGGTTGGGTGGTAGGAAACAGAAAAGAGAGGAAGATCAGCCAGGGAGGACCCGTATCGTGGCTGATCTTGGATGCTGTGGATGTTAACCTACAGCCCAGAGGCTCTTACACTGGGGACTGTGGCCCCGTAAGAGAGGAAGTGGCACTGAACAGGTATAAGGAGCCCTATGAGTTTCCTAAAATTGCATGCAAAATGGGGGGGGGGGGGGTGGTTCTAGAGAGAATTTTTGGCTGCCCTCGTTGGGCAGAGTGATGGAAGGAAGAGCAATGCCATTACTGGTTTTCTAGAGAACCTGGGAGGGAGCGCTATCACGGGTCATCATCGTGAGGAAGTGGATAAAAGGCCAAGTAGAACCTGACACCCCTCGGCCTTCCTTCCCGAGGGCCAGCACTGTGCCCATCACACTCAGCTCCTGTACACCTGTCAGCTCGCAGGAGGAGGACGGCCCTGCACCGGGGCAGGGATGGCCACAGCCCAGAGCCCCTCGGGCAGAGCGTTCTGTGTGCAGGCACCTGGTTGGCACAAGCAGGCCTCGATGGCCCAAAACACAGCTGCTCCCACACAGTGCTCTGGATAGAATGATTTCACTTAGTAACCAGTTTGCATTTAATGCAGCACCACTTGTGAATCATGGAAGTACTCTCACCGCTAAAAAGTACTGGATTTGAGCCCGTGTAAAGGCATGTGTGTATTGAGAGGATGGTTGCATTGAACCTAATGGAATTGATAAGCAAAAAGGGAGATGAAAATAACTAAACGAGGACTAATGTATTTCAGATGAGTCAGGAATGAGTTACTGAAAACACAATTGACCGGTTGTGTGAGCGTGGGGTCATGTACTGTTTTATTGCATTCTGAAATATTCATAAGCCTTTGTATTGACTGTGTTCTCATTCAAAGTCCCCAGTGCTCCCTCATCTTTGAAGATTATCAATCCTACGCTGGACTCTCTCACTCTGGAATGGGACCCACCAAGCCACCCCAACGGCATTTTGACTGAATACACCTTAAAATTCCAGCCAAGTAAGTTGTTGGGAGGAGAGGAGGGGAAATATTTTTTAAGAACTGTTATGTTTTTAAAAAACACTTTTTTTGTATCTAGAATAGATATATAAACCTTCAAGTATAATTTCAGCAAACTTCAAAACATGTTTTTTTCTTAAGATTTATTCATTAATTTGAAAGTCAGAGTTAGAGAGAGAGAGAGAGATCCTCCATCTGCTGACTCACTCCCCGGATGGCTGCAATGGCCAGTGCTAGACCAGGCTGAAGCCAATAGCCAGGAGCTTCATCTGGGCCTCCCACGTGGGTACAGGGGCCCATGCACTTGGACCATCTTCTGCTGATTGCCCAGGCACATTAGCAGGGAGCTGGATCAGAAGTGGAACAGCCAGGACATGATACCCAGTTACCATACGGGATGCTGGTGTTGCAGTTGGTGGCTCCACCCACTACACCACAAAGCTGATACAACTCAAATCTTAGTTTTTAAAGAAAAATGATGTGTAGACTATTGAAAATTAAGTAATCTGTAGAATTTTGAGGGTAATGGAAAAAAATGTAGACAAATAGACCTAAAAGATAAGGTTATTTGGTGCAAAAAAATTTTTTTTTGAATCCAGTGCGTTTTCCACAGCCTTTTAAAAAAGACCCCTACAAAGCAGACCATTGAGGATAGAGTCCAGGTGGGCACTGTCTTCAGTCCAGGCAGCCATTATCTGTAATTAGAAGATGGCAAGAAGAGATTTCGTTGGCAAAAGGCCTCTGAAGAAAAGATTTGGGATTATTTAATAGTTTGTGGCTCCACCTCCAAAACCACAAAATAAAAAATGCTGGTGTCATTCAACCAAACAATTGCTCTGGCTTTTAAGCCAGTGGGAGCATAGCCCCATATTGTGTTATAGTATATTATACTACACTATCGGATCTGTCAAAGGTTATCACTTGGTTATATCAGGCCAGGAGTGAGGAGGATTAGAAAAGCCAGTGTAAGGCAGATGTGACATTTCTGGTTGACATATTTATTTACAATAGTATTCCTATCACGATTAATGGAGAATGCACTTGCCTGTTATTTTCTGATCGACAGTTAACAGCACACATGAATTAGGACCTCTGGTCGACTTAAAAATTCCTGCCAACAAGACACGCTGGACTTTGAAAAATTTAAATTACAGCACTCGGTATAAATTCTATTTATATGCACAAACATCAGCAGGATCAGGAAGTCAGATTACAGAGGAAGCAGTAACCACTGTGGATGAAGGTAAGATGGGTATGTACAAAATCCATGGGATGATAAGTCTTGTGGGGTTAAAACACTTTTAGTTTATGCTTTCCTTCCTGCCATGGAATATCCTTCTTACCCAGTTAACACAAGCACCAGTTTGTAATTTCTCCTTCTCATATGTAGTGAAGTCCAAATAGTTATTTATTTCATATTGGAATAACTAATGGTATTTTTTTTTTCAAATCCATGTGAAATATTGGGATGGGAGTGAGAAATTACAATATTTGCCACACTGGAATTCAAAGTTATGGTGTTGTTTTTCCCTATCTGCAACTTTATGCATACATGTATGTGTTAGTACGTAGTCATATAATACATATAGATGCATACACAGATATGCATCCCCATATACACATAGTATATGTAATTCTAGTTCTGGTTATGACTCACTGGAGAAAAACCATTAGTCCTCACATTGACTTAGGTTTCCTAGCCAAGAAATCAGGACTGTCCCTAAGTAGTGTATTTCTTTTTTTTTTTTTTTTCTTTTTTGACAGGCAGAGTAGACAGTGAGAGAGAGAGAGAGACAGAGAGAAAGGTCTTCCTTTTGCTGTTGGTTCACCCTCCAATGGCCGCTGAGGCCGGTGCGCTGTGGCCGGCGCATCGAGCTGATCTGAAGCCAGGAGCCAGGTGCTTCTCCTGGTCTCCCATGGGGTGCAAGGCCCAAGTACTTGGGCCATCCTCCACTGCACTCCCGGGCCATAGCAGAGAGCTGGCCTGGAAGAGGGGCAACCGGGACAGAATCCGGCGCCCTGGCCGGGACTAGAACCCAGTGTGCCGGCGCCGCAAGGCAGAGGATTAGCCTATTGAGCCGCGGCGCCGGCCAGTATATTTATTTTATGTTTGAGCAAGGGACTTTGTATTTTGGCATGCCATCTGGTACAGAGACAGAAAAATAACCTGATTAATGTCTTTAAAAAAGGCATTAACATGCCTTTTCATACATTTGGAAAAGCATTTTGACAGTTACAGATTCAGCAAAAATGATCAAAAATATTGTACAAGATTATCTGGTTTTGCATGTTGCTAAACAGTAGAATGGCTTAAGAGGTATTTACTTATCTACCATAGCATAAGAAACTGACATTTCTCACCATACGTGGTTTTGAAATATCCTATACCAGCTTAGATACTAGGCAAGCATGCATAATGCATCCTAAATAGTATGTGGATTTGAGTCCTTTGTAAGTTTGGGGACGCTGACAAACCTTTGTCCCTGGTACCTAATGTGGATGGTACCTTCATTCCTCTTGCATGCCATAGTATTTTGATAAGTGTTTTGTATCGCTATACATGCTCACAAGTGTATTACATCTAACTATATAGTGTCCTGTTTCTGTTTCCCTCATTAAAGCTGGTATTCTTCTACCTGATGTAGGTGCAGGCAAAGGTAAAATAACTCATCTGCATGACTTTCTACATGTGTGAAATTTGCAATGTTCAACGTGGGGAAGTGCAGCATGGGTAAAAAAGACAAAATAAAATGTGCTTGGAACCACCAAACTAAGGAGAAGATCTTGGCTTTACAATTAATGTCTAATCTTATTTACAATTAGAAAGCCACGTACTCAATTCTCCCCAAATTTTTTTTATCAAGATTTATCCCTGGTGCAGATCCCAACCTTAGCTTTTAATGATACGATTTTGGCTGGATCAGACAGGATCACCACTGTGGATTTGTCCCAGATCCTCCACATGGCCATGCCACGTAGCAGGAATTCAGAAGTACCAGTCCTGTGTTGAAAAGATCCTGTGAGGATCCGGGTCGGCCCAGCTTCCTGTTCTCATCTGATAGAGCTGCACTCCTCTCAGACACACTGCTGCCATCACATGCCACTATCCACTTGGAACTCTGGGTTAGCACCCCTCCAGCTGGGCTGGGACGCAAAGTGTCCCTGCTGGGACTCCCGCTACAGAGCAGGGAGACTTCCCACACACTCTGCTTGTTGTTTTTTCCATCTTGTCTTCAACAGGCTGTTCAGGGTTCCTACTGGGACATAGCCAGCCATCCGCAAGGGGTCACTTCTGTTCTCCTTTGCCTCAGACAGCTCCTGAGGTCAGAAAGGCTTTTTAGGGGAGATGGTGCTTGAGATGCTGTAACCTATCATCCACCTGTGCAAATGCCGGAGTGCTTTAGGTCTCTGACCCTTGGCTATTGGTTGACCAGTTGGCTTTGACAAAGCTGCAGTGTCCTGGCCACTGGCTGTTGTTTTTCTGAGAGTGCTCTGAGTCATGGGTTTTCTTGGGCTTTGCAGGCCACATAAGTGCAAACAGGAATGAAGAAACAGAAGACCAGGAGCTATATGTGCTGTGCCTGAATTTATTTAGTTCTTGTGAGCTTGGGCTTGATGCATTTCTTCTGTTTTCTTAGCAGTTCACTTACCTTCAGAGCCTTGGTAAATTGTAAAATCTACATTAGATAGATTTTTGGAGTGACTGGGTAAGAAGTGTAGCCATTTCCAGCAAACTTGATAATGTTACATTCATGTATTAGACTTGAAAGAACAGACACTTGAAAATTCAAAACTCCCGAAGCATTGTGGAAAGATGTGAACATATTTCTATGTATGCTTCTTTACCAGAACAATTAGGTAGCAAGTAAACTCATAGGTTGTTGTACAATGCTTTCCTGATGTCTGCTCATCAAAGCTTTTAGGTAGAAGCCAGGCCTCTCTCCTCCATGGTGGCCACATCCCTGTGGCTGTGCCAAGAGTTGGTGGCAGAGAAATTGTGCATCCCCGGGCTGCCTGTGAGGACGTGTGACCTTCTGTGGAGCTCTGGAAGAAACATCATTCCCTGCTTTTGATCAGTGAAAGCTCAAAGACGTCTTTATCAGTAGAGTTTTGGGTTGACTACTTGACGAATCTAAAACTGTTGTGCATGACAGGATTACCTCAGTAGCTGTTGAAGATTGGTTCCAGAATGCCCCTCGGATGCCAAACCCCTTTGATGCTCAAGTCACTTCTGTGAAATGACCTTGTGCTTGAGTATAACCTGTGCACATCCACCTGGAGCCTTCAAATCGCCCCTAAATGACTGCAGTAGCTAACACAGTGTGAATTTATGTAGAGTTATCATTGTTTGGGGGCACTCATGACCAGAAAAATAGTCTGCATGTGATCTATGCAGACATGGTTTTCTTGTGGAGTATTTCCTATCCCCTGCAGGTTGTATCTTTGAACTTGGAACCTGCAGACGTGGAAGCAGCTGTGTCATTGCAGAGACAGGCTAATATGGGATGTCTGGAAGCTCATTAAGCTCTGGTATTAGAATCAGCTGGACCTCAGATAAGACAAGGAATAATGTTTTAAAAACAGCTAAATCTGACCTATTTTCAATATTTTTTTACTAGTGCAGTAGTAATTAAGCATTACTAACATAAAAATGAGATCATGTTGCCATGAAGACTATTAACTCCTTAAGTAGAATTTGTGAATCTGAGTGATTCTTCCTTTAAAAATATTATTTTCAATCTAAGGATGAATTTGGTGTGCCTCTCTGTTTCCCTTCTCTGTGTGAGATTTAGTTCTCTACAATTCTTACAAATTTTAATTTTTAAGTATATCTTTTATATTTTAATTTAAAGCAGCAAAGCAGGGGATAAATGAGATGTAGCTCATTGAGAAAAAAACATGTTATCCTTAGCTATGGAAGCATCAACATCTAATGTGACTTCATTACAAATTGTCATTTTTTTTCCGAAAGTGATTTTACTTCACTTCTACTTGAAGAAGGGAAAAGAAATGCACTGAAGTTTATATTTTTATTGTTTTCTTACAACATTTAAAAGATGTTAAGGAAACCTAGGCTTTGAGTGTGTGGTTACAAAGAGATTAAATGGTAAAATAGAAGCCAAAATAACTCAGTTAATGATATTATCCTAGGGACTCAATGGGTGTTTTTTTGCTCAGTGAGTAAGTGAATAAGTGGGGATTAAAAGGAGGGAGAGTTAGAAGTCTCTATGAGGCAAGTGACCAAACAGCATAACTTCCGAAAGTGGTAGTATTGTCTCTCAGTGGCTTTAAGAATAAGCTAAATAAAAGTTTCCAGTACACAAGACATTTTTATTAGCTACCATTAACAATACAGTGATGTAAGTTAGATTTTTGGAACGTATTCATCATAAGATAAGGGTACAAACTGTCAGTTTGTACCCTGTGTCCACCATCGCCCCACTTCCCCAACCCGTCCCCAGCTCTTAGATGCCTCTATACTACTCTCTGATACAGAGCCTTTTCTGTGTGACTTGTGGAGATTTTACATGCACGTGAGATCACACAGTATTTGTCTTTCTCTGCCTGGTTTGACTCAGTTAGCATAATATCCTCCAGGTTCATCCATGTTGTAGCTTATATCCGAACTTCCTTCCTTTTTATGATCAAAAGCTTTTCATTATATATATTTACCATCATTTATCTATCATCTGCCAGTGGACCCTTGAATTGTTTTCATAATTTGACTATTGTGGCTACTGCTTTGCCCATGGGTGAGCAGGTACCTCTTTGAAACACTGATTTTATCTCAAACCTGCAAACAAAAACAAAGTAGTTGTAGGAGAAATTCTAGAAAGGAAAAAGAGCCTCCACAAAGACCACTGTATGTGAGAAAACAAAGCTAAATTCTCCTCTGTCAGGAGTATTTTATGGTTCTGTCTTAGCTTTTTCTATAGATGGTCCAAAACTAAATTACACATAGCTCCATGTTATTATCTCTGTTGATTGATCATATTCCTGTCATGATTTGTTCCTTTAAGAAGCAAATCTAAGAAAACTAAAATGAATTAGGTCCCCAAAAAACTCTGCATAATTCAATGATCGGTTTTGCTTTCTGTCCTTTCCTTATTCTTAGCTCAAAAAAGCGTGAAATATGCATGTGTTGCTAAATTAAATTTCAGAGGTCAAGTGCATGGTTTAACTTCTGTTTTTAGTATTTATTTACTTATTTCAAAGACAGAGTTACATAGAGAGGTAGAGACAGAGACAGAGAGAGGTCTTCCATCCAAGGGTTTGTTCCCCAAATGGCTGCAACAGCCAGGCCTGGGCCAGGCCAAAGCCAGGAGCCAAGAGCTTCTTACAGCTTCTTACGTGGTTTCCCACATGGGTGCAGAGGCCCAAGGATTTGGGCCATCTTCCACTGCTTTCCCAGGTGCATTAACAGGGAGCTGGATCAGAAGTGGGGCATCCAGGACTTGAACCAGTGCTGCAGGCCAGAGCTTTAATATGCTGCATCACGGTGCCGGCCTTGTGATTTAACTTCTTTAATGCACTTCTCTTTTTGATGTTAAGACAGATTTTTTTCATTAAACTTATTTCAGCAGAATCCTTTAGCTTTTAAGTTATGCAGCATATTTTAAAATTTAATTATAGAGTCTGAATAAACCCACTGATACTTTCTGAGTTACTACCTTAGTACATTTTCTCTGGGGTAGTATATTGATTTTATTTTTTAACTACCCAAGTTATATATAAATAGGTGAGTTTTAATTTAAGCTATCCAAATAGAGCTGATAGAATCAGACTCAGTTACTCAAATACTATTTGTGAATGACTTTAGGTACTGTCATTACTCAGTAGCAAGCAGCATTCATAATTTGGATTTTTAAGAAGCTGTTCAGATTACATTATGAATTTTCAGAAAATGCTGTGTAGCAAATACAACAGGTTAGGCTTTCTTGCTCTCTGGGGTGTGTCACGTAAAACAGGTCTTGCTCCTTCATTTCTTCCTCCTTAACCTCAGGTAGAGTGTATCGGGCAATCAGAACTCAAAAGTAGCCAGGTGGTGTGGAGCCTGATTTTGAAATTGATGTCCCATAAGGACTTCTGTCCCCAGGGTTCCTCCACAATTCCCCTGCCTGTCTTACATCAGTAACCAAAGACCATGGTCTCCTGGAACTGTGTCTAGTGGGCAACAGTTCACATGGTTCAGAACCTATGGAGTAGAACCCAGACATTTTAATATCATACAGGATACTTTGATATCAAATTATTTCCCAATGCCGTAATCTAGCCAAAGAAAACCCTTTCAGTAAAGAGAGTGAAGTGTAAGCCAATCCTAAATTTCAGCAGTGAATTTGAACTTAGTTTTATTTGCACTACTTCAGCGGATTTAGGCTTACTTTATATCTGCATGGATGGCGCTGAAAGAGGATTGTTTGTTTTGTTTTTCTGTTGTGTGTTTAGTTCAGACAGTAATTTCCAGGATCAGCAATCTAACTGCTGTGGCTCCTGAGACCTGTGTCAGTATCCGTTGGGAATATGAGGGCCCAGAGCCCGTGAACTTTTATGTTGAATATGGTATAGCAGGCAGTAAGAAACAATTTCATTACCAGGTCTTTAATTAATGGGTTTACATTTCAAGAGAAGAAAAATGTTGTTAAGGATTTACTGTCAG